TAGATTATGCTAGCCATGTTATAGTGCTTAGGTTTTTGAGTTCAAGCAAACTTGACATAAAAGCTTCGTCTGTCAAGCCTTAGTGCCGTGGCAGGTTTATTCTTGTGTGGTGTCTACCACAAAAGATTTTCACATCTTCACAATCGGTTTATGAATGCTAACACAACAAGTTCAGAATGGACACGAGACGTGGTATGCGGTAAGTACAACCAGCTTAAGAGATTTGATTGATTGAGTTGTGTTTGACACCGCTTTTAACAGTATTCAAGTTATATCACGGCGTGTCAGCTTAATGTTGGAGGAAAGCCCGAAGTGATGCAGGTCTCAGACGTTTACCCCTTCGGTGAAACCCACGAGCACGGGTATGGTGCTGACAAACCTAGAAACATAATCGGGGCGAACCGGGATTCGAGCCCACAATCATAGGTTTCTGGCGTGTCCAAGGGACGCAACTCTGCACAGCGAATCGCGGCGCCTTAGACGACTGGGCCACCCGTGCCCCCACCAGGTGAGGAGAATGTTCTTATTTAACAAATGTTATATTTGGGACAACACTTTCTTAGTAATGAACAATCTGTACTTTATACTGAGAAAGTTTTATCCCAAATATCACATTTTTGACCACTTTCTAAATGACATTGTGTGTTCATAGCTTTCGGCCGCGGGAGCCATTTACACTTGTCAGAGGGGTACTCAAGGTACGTGATCTTAACTACCACTAGTCGGACTTTCATTTTTTGTGGAAGCCTCTGTGGCTGAGTGGGTTAGGTTGATGATTTTGGGTGCTGGCGACTAAGGTATCTCAATCTAGCAGTGTGGGTTCGAATCCCGGATGGGACCCAACCCCAGACGCGCTAGAATATGTACTTTCCTGAGAAAATGTTATCCTAAATATAACATTTGTTACATTTGACCACTTGCAATGCCATTGTGTGTTCATAAATGTACATATTCGTATATTGTTTATTGGAATGTGTTTCTCGTTGAAAGGAATGTGTTTCTTGTTGATAGGAATTCGTTTCTTGTTTATAATAGGAATGGGTTTTTGTTGATGGGGATGTGTTTCTTGTTGATAGGAATACGTTTCTTGTTGATATAAATGTGTTTCTTATTAATAGGACCGTGTTTCTTGTTGATAGAAATGTGTTTCTTGTTGATAGAAATGTTTCTTGTTGATAGGAATGTGATTCTCGTAGATAGAAATGTGTTTCTTGTTGATAGGAATGTGTTTCCAGTTGATAGAAATGTGATTCTTGTTGATAGGAATGTGTTTCCAGTTGATAGAAATGTGATTCTTGTTGATAGGAATGTGTTTCCAGTTGATAGAAATGTGATTCTTGTTGATAGGAATGTGTTTCCAGTTGATAGAAATGTGTTTCTTGTTGATAGGAATGTGTTTCCAGTTGATAGAAATGTGATTCTTGTTGATAGGAATGTGTTTCCAGTTGATAGAAATGTGATTCTTGTTGATAGGAATGTGTTTCCAGTTGGTAGAAATGTGATTCTTGTTGATAGGAATGTGTTTCCAGTTGGTAGAAATGTGATTCTTGTTGATAGGAATGTGTTTCCAGTTGGTAGAAATGTGATTCTTGTTGATAAGAATGTGTTTCCAGTTGGTAGAAATGTGATTTTTTTATAGAAATGTGTTTCCTGTTGATAGGAATGTGTTTCCTTTTGTTATATATGTGTTTCTTGTTGATAGGAATGCGTTTCTTGTTTATAACAGGAATGTGTTTCCAGTTGATAGAAATGTGATTCTTGTTGATAGGAATGTGTTTCCAGTTGGTAGAAATGTGATTTTTTTTATAGAAATGTGTTTCCTGTTGATAGGAATGTGTTTCCTTTTGTTATATATGTGTTTCTTGTTGATAGGAATGCGTTTCTTGTTTATAACAGGAATGTGTTTCCAGTTGATAGAAATTTGATTCTTGTTGATAGGAATGTGTTTCCAGTTGGTAGAAATGTGATTTTTTTTTTATAGAAATGTGTTTCCTGTTGATAGGAATGCGTTTCTTGTTTATAACAGGAAGGTGTTTCTTGTTGATAGAAATGTGTTTCCTGTTGATAGGAATATGTTTCTTAATACCAGGATTGTGTTTCTTGTTGATAGAAATGCGTTTCTTGTTTATAATAGGAAGGTGTTTCTCGTTGATAGAAATGTTTCTTGTTGATAGAAATGTTTTTCCTGTTGATAGAAATGTGTTTCTTGTTGATAGAAATGTGTTTCTTGTTGATAGGTATGTGATTCTTGTTGATAGGAATGTATTTTACGCAGATATAAATGTGTTTCTCGAGATAGACAATTGTTTCTTGTTGATAGGAATGTGTTTCTTGTTGGTGGGAATGTGTTTCTTGTTGGTGGGAATGTGTTTCTTGTTGGTGGGAATGTGTTTTTTGTTGATAGGAATGTATTTTACGCAGATAGAAATGTGTTTCTCGAGATAGACAATTGTTTCTTCTTCATAGGAATGTGTTTCTTGTTGATAGGAATGTGTTTCTTGTTGGTGGGAATGTGTTTCTTGTTGGTGGGAATGTGTTTCTTGTTGGTGGGAATGTGTTTATTGTTGGTGGGAATGTGTTTCTTGTTGATAGGAATGTATTTTACGCAGATAGAAATGTGTTTCTCGAGATAGACAATTGTTTCTTCTTGTTGGTGGGAATGTGTTTTTTGTTGGTGGGAATGTGTTTCTTGTTGATAGGAATGTATTTTACGCAAATAGAAATGTGTTTCTCGAGATAGACAATTGTTTCTTCTTGATAGGAATGTGTTTCTTGTTGATAGGAATGTGTTTCTTGTTGGTGGGAATGTGTTTCTTGTTGGTGGGAATGTGTTTTTTGTTGGTGGGAATGTGTTTCTTGTTGATAGGAATGTATTTTACGCAGATAGAAATGTGTTTCTCGAGATAGACAATTGTTTCTTCTTGATAGGAATGTGTTTCTTGTTGGTGGGAATGTGTTTCTTGTTGATAGGAATGTATTTTACGCAGATAGAAATGTGTTTCTCGAGATAGACAATTGTTTCTTCTTGATAGGAATGTGTTTCTTGTTGGTGGGAATGTGTTTCTTGTTGGTGGGAATGTGTTTTTTGTTGGTGGGAATGTGTTTCTTGTTGATAGGAATGTATTTTACGCAGATAGAAATGTGTTTCTCGAGATAGACAATTGTTTCTTCTTGATAGGAATGTGTTTCTTGTTGGTGGGAATGTGTTTCTTGTTGGTGGGAATGTGTTTTTTGTTGGTGGGAATGTGTTTCTTGTTGATAGGAATGTATTTTACGCAGATAGAAATGTGTTTCTCGAGATAGACAATTGTTTCTTCTTGTTGGTAGGAATGTGTTTCTTGTTGGTGGGAATGTGTTTCTTGTTGGTGGGAATGTGTTTCTTCTTGATAGGAATGTGTTTCTTGTTGGTGGGAATGTGTTTCTTGTTGGTGGGAATGTGTTTCTTGTTGGTGGGAATGTGTTTCTTCTTGATAGGAATGTGTTTCTTGTTGGTGGGAATGTGTTTCTTGTTGGTGGGAATGTGTTTCTTGTTGGTTGGAATGTGTTTCTTGTTGGTGGGAATGTGTTTCTTGTTGGTGGGAATGTGTTTCTTGTTGGTGGGAATGTGTTTCTTGTTGGTGGGAATGTGTTTTTTGTTGGTGGGAATGTGTTTCTTGTTGGTGGGAATGTGTTTCTTGTTGGTTGGAATGTGTTTCTTGTTGGTGGGAATGTGTTTCTTCTTGATAGGAATGTGTTTCTTGTTGGTGGGAATGTGTTTCTTGTTGGTGGGAATGTGTTTTTTGTTGGTGGGAATGTGTTTCTTGTTGGTGGGAATGTGTTTCTTGTTGGTGGGAATGTGTTTCTTCTTGATAGGAATGTGTTTCTTGTTGGTGGGAATGTGTTTCTTGTTGGTGGGAATGTGTTTCTTGTTGGTGGGAATTTGTTTCTTCTTGATAGGAATGTGTTTCTTGTTGGTGGGAATGTGTTTCTTGTTGGTGGGAATGTGTTTTTTGTTGGTGGGAATGTGTTTCTTGTTGATAGGAATGTATTTTACGCAGATAGAAATGTGTTTCTCGAGATAGACAATTGTTTCTTCTTGATAGGAATGTGTTTCTTGTTGGTGGGAATGTGTTTCTTGTTGGTGGGAATGTGTTTCTTGTTGATAGGAATGTATTTTACGCAGATAGAAATGTGTTTCTCGAGATAGACAATTGTTTCTTCTTGATAGGAATGTGTTTCTTGTTGGTGGGAATGTGTTTCTTGTTGGTGGGAATGTGTTTCTTGTTGGTGGGAATGTGTTATTACACCCCCACCTGACTTGTTACCTCCTTCCTTACTGCGACAACCATTACGACTACAGAAACTATGTCGGGTTCGACCACGCCCAAACCTACCACTTTGGCAATTTGAGAACTACTCAATAGAACACCCGATATTTTCGAAAGACTAAGTTAATCTGACGTGGCTCATGGGTATTGAAACACAGTCTTTCAATTGTTAGTCCTTAACTTATTTTGAGTAACTTCTTTGACAGGGATTTAGAAGTTGTAGTTCTAAGTAAGGATAATATTTATGAACAACTTCTTTATTGCAATTAAGAGCGACGTTTCGGTGTAGGTTCTAACACCGTTATCAAGCAAGTGATATACAGAGTGTGGTTGACAAGTATATATGCAGGTAGGAGGCAATGTTTATACAGTAGAGTAGATATCACAAAAGGGGTAGTTAAGACATAACCGGCGGTGTAAGTAACATTAACAAAACTGAAGCCAGAAATATAAACAACAGGATTATGACTGATTGGGTTGATGAGTTCATGGTACGCCGGGGGTATGTAATAGCCTTGGTTACAAGCCTTGTGATATCTGATATCTACTATACTGTATAAACATTGCCTCCTACCTACATATATACTTGTCAACCATACTCTGTGCATCACTTGCTTGATAACGGTGTTAGAACCTGCACCGAAACGTCGCTCTTAATTGTAATATAGAAGTTGTTCAAACATAAATCTAATCCTTACTTATTATTACTACTACTACTAATACTAATACTACTACGATCATAACTACCACTACTACTTCTACTACTGTTACTACTACTACTACCGTACTACGATAGTATCCCAAATGATTACGTCGATGCTCAAGATGTCAATCACTGGATTGTCTGGTCAAGACTCGATTTTTTACAGACCGCCATCATACAGCTGGAATATTGCTGGGTGCGGCGTTAAACAACAAACAAACTACTACTAATGATACTAATAATAATAATACGGCTTCGACAACTACCATACTAATACTACCATACGACGACGACCACCACCACTACTAAGACTACCACTACCAGCACTACTACTACTACCAGACTACTACTACTACCAGACTACTACTACTACCACCACCACCATAAATAAAAATAATCATAATCATAATCATAATCATAATCATAATCATCATCATCATCATAACCATAATAATCACCATCACTACGTACCACGACTCACCTCCCGCCGTGATTCTATTCATGCACAAAAGGCAAATCCCCCGTAGAACCAGACACGAACCCCGCTGGAAATCCCAGCCGATAATCTGATGGTAATCCCCCAACGTGAGAACCTGTGTTAAGTGACTTGCACGTAACAATGAATAACTCTAATCCTGATTAGTCTTCACGAAAACACCCCGACATGCCGCAGTGTACTGAATGTTGTGACGAGATGATACAATAAGATTATATTCCACCCGTACCTACGACCGATTGTTGCGTATCTCAACACATCCATACATTGCCAGCAGCCATTACCAGTTGGAGTTCCTTCTGGTGGAGGACAAAGGCGAGGTCACGTGTTACAGGTGAAAGTGTCAGTGAGTCAAATGAATGCGTTCGTGTTGTGGTACTGGTATAAACGGTGTTGCAATGACAATGAACGACAGTAGCGCTATAGGAAGGGTGATGATGGATAACTATATCTGCAACAGGACGCCCGCCACCATGAATGAGAGTCAAGATCAGAAAGACGTTACAACTGGGGATCTTGTTATTGAAATTGCTGACAGCGATACCCCAGAAGCCTCTACCTCCGAGAAACCACAAGGCGACACCAGCACTGCTGACGAAACACTTAACGCTCAAGCAAAGAAGGAGACGGTCCTCAGGTAGGAAACATATATGTTCTTATTCTATTAAAACACTTCTAACCTGCCTTACTCAGATAGGCCACATTCACAATGCTATGGATATCCAACTACCTAGCGTTGTTTCGTATCGCAGTTTCACCCTTATTGTGTTTCGTGGTTTGTCAACACGCCTGCCCGTCACACCGGTATCATCACAATTTTGATCGTGATTCACACACACATGATCAGTTGGAAAGGATTTTGTGGCTATTTGTTGTATTAACCACTCTCCGAAAAATACACAATTCGTGTTCACTGGGTCACAGCCGGGACCTACACTCTGTATCAACGTTGTATTCTCACTTCAGACTTATTACAGGTTACATAACGCTCCACGCAGATAATATCAGTCATTACATTGTATGTCCCTGCTGGACCGGTGATTTCATGCAGTTGCATAACAAATTATCTTATGCCTATCAAACAATTTGAAAAAGTATCTCTAACTTTTTAGGATGAGGAATTGTGTCAATTCACTCGCTCACATCTAAAAGAAATTCATCTAATTCACACTTCAATCATCCTTTACCGAAATTGTTCACCGGAACCTTTTCACACGCATAGAACACAAAAACATAGAACACTTAAGCATAGAACACATAAACATAGAACACATAAACATAAACATAGAACACATTAACATAGAACACATGGTACAGAAACGTGATTAAACAGATCCAAATTACTATTGCGATTTCATATGAAGGCAAAGGGTATCAGATTTCCTTACTATATTGCCCTATCGTTCATATGAATGAAGCTGACAGGTAATTGTTCCCTGACGCGTCTGTCTGCACACGGTAAACGTCTAAAATCAACATTAGTTTGAGCCGACACACCGTGATATAACTAAAATACTGTTAATCGAGAACTCACCTACCCCGATCAATTTGAAAAATTGCTAAATTGCAAAATTAGACACGTTATTACCCTGCGAAGGGACAGAGGAGATACATGTTCTTATTATTCCTGTAATAACCCACCTCAGAGGTGGCGTCACCTTGGTCACGGTCTTGTCGGTGTCATTAGAGCCCATCTTACACAGAGGAAAGATCCCGAAAGAATAGATGACGTTATAGAAGGTTTCCTTGTATAACGCAAATTGACCTAGTGTATAGTAATCGTTGCAAGTTACAGTCAAGCGCATGAGCTACATATAGCCCAATCAATATTATCAATATATGAACGTTGGAAAAAGGTGGATTTACTGTGCACAACGTGTTTTACTCTCGCTATTCGGGACAACCATCAGCCTGGTAGGGCAAGGGGATGACTGCAAGTTTCAAATTTTCCAACAGCTCCAGCCATGTGTTTACATTTGTTCACCTTTTAGCGATCACCTCGTATTATCACAATTGAATCATGATTCATAAACACATCCTGATCACATAGCCGGAATCGTACAATCGTACACTTGTAGCAGGGGGAGGGGGGGGGCACGGGTGGCCCAGTCGTCTAAGGCGCCTCTATTGGCAAAGTTTCGTCCCTTGGGCACGCCAGAAACCTATGATTGTGAAATATTTTCAAATACAAGAGTGAGTAAATGTTATTTTTCACCGCAATGAACAATAGACCACCTATTTCATACGATAAATAATTGAATGTGGGAACATCCGTTACATAACTCCGAAGACACTGTTTCAAACAATGCTATATTCACATATGCTATGCTATGATATGTTGAGAAAGTTTATAATTAACAGGACGCGATCATGTCCTTAAATGTTTCTTTAAACCGGGTGACTTCATTGGAAAACGTTATCTTAGTTGTCTATTATTTAACGCAAGTCAGCAATGAAGGCGTTCTGTAAATTAACGAGTCTGGACAGGACAATCCAGTGACTGACAGCAGGTGCATCGAACTTCGCATTTGGGATACGGTGACATGCATCAACCAAGTCAGCGAGACTGACCACGCGTCCCCTTAGTCGCCTCTTTCGACAAACATGAGCTGCTGAAGACCAATTCTAACTCGGATCTTCACGGTGTGAAATACGTATGTCCAGTGTGTTTGTACTTAAGGAAGTTGGCGTATTACCAAGCAATTCTTTAAGCTGTTTACCGGCTCTGGTTGATCGAGTTTCCTGGCTGATTTGCCAGATGAATGTGTGCGTTGCTACTGACAAAAATAGTTCCTTGGATAAAAACGTATTTCGGTCTACCTAACGACATAATTCATTATTGTTGGTACGTTGGCAATCATTCACATTCGTGATGACATCAGCGGTGGATGTCAAGGTGCCCTAAATACCAATCTCACAAACACGTCATTGTACAAGAAGTGCGGCTGGTACTTTGCGAAACACACCATTGTGCTCGTATCGTATATAGTCAACACACATGGTAGATAAACACGATATGGGCTGTATTTAGATGAAGACAGATGTTATTGTTCTGATGTCTGTTTTTTCATAAACAAACCTATACAGCTTTAAGCAGCCGTCAGTGATTTCTAAGGGTTTGCGGGTCCTTAGATAGGGACAGCATGAATCTCCAAACACACCAGTTCGGGACATCACCACCGTCAAAGATTGGTTGGTTGGTTGGTTGGTTGGTTGGTTTGTTGTTTAATTCAGCAATATTCCAGCTATATGACGACGGTCTGTAAATAATCGAGTCTGGACCAGGCAATCCAGTGATAATTATCATGAGCATCGATCCACGCAATTGGCATCGATGACATGCATCAACCAAGTCAGCGAGCCTGACCACCTGATCCCGGGGCGGGGGGCGGGGGGCCCAGTCTAAGCGCCGTAATTCGCTTTACAGAGTTGTGTCCCATTGGGCACGCCAGAAACCTATGGTCGTGGTTTCGAATCCCTGTTCTCCCCATTTATGTTTCTATGTTTAACATAACTATATCTCTGTCACAGACCAGCTGTATCTACCCCCCCCCCCCCCCCCCCCTCCCCCTCCCCCCCTCACTGGCGTTACTGCCGCGCGTCCTCACAGCCATGTGAGATTGTCAACACAAACATAAGGTCATCATAGATGATTTTGTGTCGTTTTTAACGATCTGCCTTGTAAATTGTTGACAGCAAAAGGTGTCTTTTTATGAGAAGGATAATGGGGTCGGTGACCTGAACTATGCTTGATTATACACAATCAACTTGGACGGTCATGTCATAGCACGCCAAAAGATTATCTAGACACCATCCTGGGAACCCCAAGCTGTAAAGGTCCCCTTTCCTGTTATCACAATAGGTTAAATGGGGTGATTACACCTTGTGAAGCGGCTGGTCGTGTCAGGGATAAAACCAATGTATCCTATTCGCATTTTAATTGAGAACAACTGCAGTGCCCACCGTTTCTGTCATTGGACGCAAAGAGCATGGAATAATTTTTAAACTGAAGCATGAAAAAACCCGATTATCTTAAGGTTTTTTTCTTTTAAATCTTTATATGGAATATCTACAGTTTGTATGGATGTCAGCGTACGTATTATGAGGAGGGCGGTGAGGTAGACTAGCGGTTAAAGCGTTCGCTCATCACGCCGAAGACCCAGGTTCGATAACTACATGGGTATAATGTGTGAAGCCCATTTCTGGTGTCCCCCGCCGTGATATCGCTGGATATCGCTAGATGTCGAGTAGAGAGAATGGGTTTTATGATAGTTTGAAGTATCAAACAACTGTATATGTTCGCCCATGTCAGCATAAACATCCTCTGTTTCAATGTGGTAACAACAAACAAACGACTAGTCATAACCATGTGGCTTTCAATATTAAATTCATTTATTAATTTACTACATAAATGTTTAGCTCCAGCTCTCCCGGCCTTCATCAGGCACACAGTGTTGCTTTAGAGCTACAGAATTCGAGATGCTTTCATCTGTAACTGAATAAGGCTAATTTCGCCGGCAGGCCTGTAGATTGAGATGCGTATTTATGTATTCACGTAAATACCGTCATGGGAATGAACACAAAAGTAGAATAATTAAGGGTAGTTTTTGAATGGTATTAAGAAGTGATACACTTGAGGAAGAGAATTTGTTAGCTTCTCTATCATCACGTTTACATCACGTTTACACGCGTGTAACTCTTCGAGAGAAACGACTTGGTGTCCTCATAATAAAGAAGTTGACATCCATAAATTCTCTTCCTAATGTGTATCACTTCTAAATGCCTTTCAAAGACTTGAACGGCTTGGTCGTTGTACAACTCATGTAGATAATAAATGGAAATACAATAAGTTTGATGTGATGGTCATTTGACATTATTTCTTAACCTCTACAAAACGTGACCTTAAATCTTGACATTAAATTTTCTTGTATAAACACCAAGACGTTTCTGAAAGATTATTTTGTTTGTTTCCTGCTGTGAATCACGACCAGAATCAATGAGCATATCAGCATGATCACTCACTGTCTTGAGAGTTACGGGCGGTCGGGTGGCCTAGTGGTTAAAGCGCTAGCTCATCACGCCGAAGAACCGGGTTTGATTCCCGACATGGGTACAATGTCTGAAGCCCATTTCAGGTGTCCCCCGCCGTGATATTGCGGGAATATTGCTAAATGCGTCGAAAAACAATACTCACTCACTCACTCACTCACTCTTGAGAGTTACAGTACTAATGCAAACACGCGCTTCAGTGGACGTACAAAATGTTTCGACTCCACACTCTTATTAATAAGGTGGAGATTAATGCTTCAGCCATGCATGGTTTTCACACCCCGATGTCCGAATCAAACGCCCCGCGGCTGTCTGGACTTGTATTTCCACCCCACTGTCCGAATCAAAAGCCCCGCGGCCCTCTCTTGAGATTTGTTTTCGACTTCTAACTGCCTTTCGTGTGAAGTCTATTGTTCGATTGCAATACTAATTTGTTATTGACAACTTCCAAAAGTCTGAATGAGATTATTCCTTAACCGAATGGAATTCCGGGTCGTTTTACAGTGAATGTGCGTCCCTGCTGACTGGACGTTTCCATGATCGGCGGTTCTCCCAATGTGTGTTCTTTGTGTTTGATATCTTAATGGGGCACTTAAACGGGCTCAATTCACAGGTTAATGTATTTGCGATTGACGAACCTGTCCGACCTGTGTGTATACTATTATATTTTGGGAACACTCCAAATCCACCCAGTGTGTGTGTCTCAAGGGTGTGTACCTTGTGGGCATTCTGAAGTGAAACATATTATCTGTTCCCGAAATGCCAGAACAATATGTTTGTCCTCATTGTTTACTAAACAGACTTTGAAAGGATGGATTTACTGAACAATATTGTGTTGTGGCTCCCCAAAACATTAACGAGTTCATCTCTGAAAGAACAAATGTGCGTGCCTGGTCTCGACGTCGTAGGACAAGAGTAGTGCTGGGCCCAGCGTTACGCAACACGCACTTATGTTTTATATGCAAGTCATGACTGAATTCGCCATCGAATTTTAGTATTGTTCAGATGTGGATCTTTACCTCTTGCCATAGAAACTAGACGTTTTAACAAACCACCAACCCCTCTTCTAGATATAATTTGCCCACATTGTTTTAAACAGTTATAAAGAGAAATATTGATTTTTTTTACATGAGCTGGTCATAACTGATTTTCAGTAAAGCATTCCTATTTTATCCCTATTTTGCCCTTTATACCTACTGGGGGTAGATCGGCGGCTAATCGCGAATATTTCTCTGGCGATGACGTTTTGAATTTAACGACCGCGACCGAGTGAATAATATCCGCCTATATATTATTCCCAAACATGAACCACCCCATCCCTTCGAAAATATTATATTAACGGTCCCGTATACACCTGGTATTTGGTATAAGCATTCATATTTATTCTTATATACAACAAAGGTGTTTTTGTATCTCAAAAATGCTCTGTTCATATGGAATAGATGTATATTATTATTAGAGATTGTTATGTTTGGTAACAGTAAAAAACGTTACTTTATCCAATCACTGAACCAATACTTCAAGAAAAAAGCAAATATTTACATAGTGTCAGTCTAGGTCTTTTCGGAACAACGGCGACTGTGATCGCCTGCAGGGAGTATGCCTACTTACAGTAAAACTTAGTCATGCACCACTGTTCATGGCCGCCGTGCTGATGGTCTGCCTGATACCAACTGTCCGCAGGCAACGGATACTGTAGAAAATGGTAGAAGACTTAAAAACAACAGTGATTAGTGTGTCTACATCTGTCTCTTTATATCAGCGGTTTGTACCCGGACATCCTTGTACCCCTGCTTCAATTAACGTGATACGTCCGTATGGGCTCTTCGTCTTCCTTTCATGGATGATATGACAACACGACATGACGAGTATGTCTTCATGATGAACTCAGAGTATGTGCATTAGCACCTGTAATGTATCTCGCGCCATGAGGATATTTAGATCTTTGTCAGTGTGCAAAAGGTACACCCAGTTCGTGTTTTAACATAATACGGGTGTCTAAAACAGACTAGATCATAAAGATAAAGCCATTAGAGTCTATCAACGTGTGAGGTACCTGTAGAGTTGTATGTCATGTGTTAAAGTGCAGATTTGAAAGGGGAGGTTATAATTAACTGACGTAGGAGCATTGATCAGTCGTTCAGTGCACTGTTAAAATGTTTAGACCCCAAACACGTTCCTTGCCCCATTATTTTAACGCGTTTTTTTCTAAACGTGTTTAGGGTCAACATGTGGGAAAGACCTTACATCCCTTGAAATTCATTTGGGGTAATTTATAAAAGGGGCGCTCTCTAAGGGTTTTAGCTTTTAAAGGGGATACAGAAGTAGGGGCTGGTTAACCAGAAACGTTTAGACTCTAAGTAATCAGATATAATCTCACTTTCAGAACAACACCTTTAAAACCGGCGGGATTCGAACCTGCGATTTCTTGATTTGTAGTCCTTCAAGCTACCACCTTTGCTAAGGAGACTGTTGATGTCCCAAATATAAATTTTCGAATTATATTAGTATAAACGTGTTTAAATACGAAACATGTTTAAGCATTAAACGTGTTTAAATTCAAAACATGTTTAAAGATGTTTCAATTCTAAATATGTTTAAAGATGTTTTAATTCTAAATATGTTTAAAGATGTTTCAATTCTAAATATGTTTAAAGATGTTTCAATTCTAAATATGTTTGAAGAAGTTTCAATTCTAAATGTTTAAAGATGTTTCAATTCTAAATATGTTTAAAGATGTTTCAATTCTAAATATGTTTGAAGATGTTTCAATTCTAAATATGTTTAAAGATGTTTCAATTCTAAATATAATTAAAGATGTTTCAATTCTAAATATGTTTAAAAATGTATCAATTTTAAATATGTTTAAACACTAAGAATGTGTAAATTCTGAACATTTCTAAACTCTAAGCATGTTTATAGATGTTTAAATTCTAAACGTGTTTGAAGGTTTTAAAAATTCGAAACATGTTAAAATTTCACCAGATTATGTGGATGTTGTGTTCAGGTGGTGTTTAGGATGTGAAACGATAGCTCATTTCACGTGTTTAGTCAATATTCCAGTTATATCACGGCGTGTCAGCTTAGTGTAGGAGGAAAGCCCGAAGTAAAGCAGGTCTCAGAGGTTTTACCACTTTGGCGAAACCCACATGTGAAATCAAAAATACCCACTCACTCGTGTGTATAGATCAGGAAATGAGCGAAAGTGTTTGTGTTTGTAAAGTTATAAATTCTGATGATGCTTTTCAGTGATGGAGAAGCCCACATCCTGCGTGAGCTGGAGAAGCAGGTGTCGAATAGCGTGGACTTGGGCTCTGAGATTGACTACAAGACCTTCAAGAAGATCCTCAGAGTCAAAGACGTATGTCAAGTTTTGTACCTTAGTATGATTTCAGTGAGTGAGTGAGTGATTTGGGCTTAACGCCGCTTTTAACAGTATTCAAGTTATATCACGGCGTGTCAGCTTCATATGGGAGGAAAGCCCGAAGTGATGCAGGTCTCAGACGTTTACAACTTCGGTGAAACCCACGAGCACGGGTATGGTGCTGACAAACCTAGAAATATAATTGGGGCAAACCGGGATTCAAACCCACAATCATAGGTTTCTGGCGTGCCCAAGGGACGACACTCTGCACAGCGAATCGCGGCGCCTTAGACGACTGGGCCACCCATGTCCCCTCGTATGGTGTGCAAGTATGGGTTTACCCCGCATTTAGCAATATTCTAGCTATATCACGGCGGGGGACACCAGACATGAGCTTCACACATTCTACCCATGTCGGGAATCGAACCAGGGCATTCGGCGTGACGAGCGAACGCTTTAACCACTAGGCTACCCCGCGCGCTGATAACTGTCATGACGTCGATTGCTATTTTTATATTCTCTCAGTGCGACAGATGTCTGCATGACGCTAGTGTTCGAGACATATACTACCACTTGCGAATAAAGAAATATCGTGCGAAAGACTTATGGAGTTACAAAACCGATCGATACCCTAATACATAATACCACGTTTCATCTCATACTCAGAATTGGTCGGGATGGCAATTTTTCTTTCCAAGTCTCCATTATGTTTGAATTAGTTTTTCATGCTTACATTTCATTCCGTTGTAGTCGTTTTTTGGAGAGAGGTATTTCAAGCTGTTCGACACAAACAAGAGCGAGACAATCGAGGTGTCTGAACTCCTTGCGTCCCTCAGGAAGCTCACACAGGCGAACTCAACAGAAAAACTCAACTTTCTCTTCCAAGTGTACGACCAGAATGGTAAGTTCCCCACAAGATATAAATTTTGTTTATTTACTGTTTAACATCGGGTTTAGCAATGCTCCATCTATATGACAGCGGCCTGTATATATTCGAGTCTGGACCAAACAATCCAGTGACTGATGGTGAACAACGCTCCACGCCGTCGGGCCGCGAGGTCACGTTACCAACCACGCCACCAATCCTGTTTCTTTAAGTCGCCTCTCACGACCAGCATTTGTTGCTGTTGACCTTTTCTAACTGTTTGTTTGTTGTTTATAATTAACGCCGTACGCAGCAACAGTCTAGCTATATGAGGCGTTCTGTACATAATCGAGTCTGGATCAGACAATCCAATGATTGATATCATGAGCATCGATCTACTCAAATGGGATACGATGACATGCATCAACAAGTCAGCGGGCCTGACCACCCGATCCCGTTAGTCGTCTCTTACGACAGGCATAGTCGCCTTATACGGCAAGCATTGGTTGCTGAAGATCTACTCTAGCCCGGATCTTCAAGGGTCGGATGACAATGTCATTTTATTTTTAGTGTGAATAATTATGTACTTTATCTACTTTTGCTGTGGATTAGGGTTCAATTGCCATGGGATTGATATTGCTGGAATATTGCTAAAAGCGGCGTAAAACCATACTCACTCACTCATTATTCCGGCTTATCAGCATGTGATTCGAGTTAATTAACATTTTAAATCCTCGACAAGTGCCGTTGCTTCAAATTAACAGGATTTGATATGACGACCTCATCTCATAGGTTACACAACCCGTGAAGATCCGGGTTAGAGTCGCTATTTAGCAGCCCATGCTTGTAGTGAGTGAGTGATAATGGTTTTACGCCGCTTTTAGCAATATTCAAGCAATATCACGGCGGGGAACACAAGAAATGGGCTTCACACATTGTACCCATGTCGGGAATCGAATCCGGGCCTTCGGCGTGACGAGCGAACGCTTTAACCACTAGGCTACCCGACCACCCCGGCATTAGTCCGGACTACATACACACACACACACACACACGCACGCACGCACGCACGCACGCACGCACGCACGCACACGCGCGCCCGCGCGCATCGCTATAAAAGTGCAATAATCTTGAACGAGACGTTTAACCAAATTTCACCTCACATCATCTGATCATAATTGGTCCCTTGTACGCCATTTTTGTCGTACAAGCCGATTAAAGCCAGTAGCGGCTGAAGACGGGATATGGGTCACAGTACTCCCACAGGGAAGATCATTGCTATTGATAGAAAGCATTAGTTTGCCACGCCAGGGCTTGAGGTCAGATCGCGATGACATAGCTGGAATAAAGTGACGCCATGTCTGCGCTCAATTGTTTTGGTGTGAGGGAACTTCGAATCTCCATGTCCAATTATCACGCTCACGACTTCATATTAAGTGATATATTTGACAAACTGAATGGGCAAACTATAGGATATTATTAATACGCCATATAGTCTTTCTGGCTGCCTTTGACCCGTGAAGATCCGGGATAGAAAAGGTCTTCAGCAACCCATGTTTGCCGTAAAAGGCGACTATGCTTGTCGTAAGGGGCGACTAACGGGATCGGGTGGCCAGGTTCGCTGTCTTGGTTGATGCATGTCATCGTATCCCAATTGCGTGGATCGATGTTCATGATGTCAATCACAGGACTGTCTGGTCCAAACTCGATTGTTTACAAACCGCTGTTGCATAGCTGGAATATTGCTGAGTGCGGCGTTAAGCAACAAACCAACCAACCAACCAACTGGCTGCCTTCGCTCATCACGCTTAGGACCGGGTTCGATTCCCCACGCGGCTACAATGTATGGAGCCATTTCTGTTATCTTCCGCCGTGATATTGCTGGAATATTGCCGAATGCGGCGCAAAACCATGCTCAGTCACTTCGTGTTTACCTGATCATCTGATAATGATCTGAGTGGGTTTATGTAAATACCCGATCAATGTTAAATAAAGGCGTCTCTCACTTCTCTCCCCAATATACTCGACATGTGTCCCCCAGAGAGAGGCCACAGTGACAGGACATTCAGTCTTGAGCACAAAATGTTAGATTCGGAATATAATTTCTGAAGCTTGTGCATGTCATTCAGTCTGAGCACAAAACGTTAGATTAGGAAAATAATTGCTGAAGCTTGTTCAGTGAAATTGTTCATGGACATGACACTTGTTCGTGACGACAATGTTTACGTTGGTTGTGCTGTGTTTCTATACGACGAATAGCTGTGGCAATAATTTCCGATCCATCTGTTGGATCGGACACCAGACACGGCACGACATTGACTAAGCTTGAAAGCGTGATCTTTGTCATACGCACATGTGCCCCGTGATTCATCCGGTTTACCGACTCCCATGCGAGCAAATTAATTTTATAAAAGGGTTGAAAAAGATACCTCTAGTATATAGAAAATGTTTTTTTTATTTTGTATACATACACCAAATAGCGTATCGTACAATGTATATGAGAGACACTTCTAAAACTAATCTGGTATTCATAAATGACATTATGAAATAATCTCTAGCCGTGTCTGACATAATAGACGAGATCAACTTATTCAGACATGAAAACTATTTGATGTGAGGGTGTGTGTGTGTGTGTGTGTGTGTGTGTGTGTGTGTGTGTGTGTGTGTGTGTGTGTTCGAGTGTGTGAGTAATAGTGCTAACCTAGTGTGATGTCAAGCTGCACTTTAACATGGATACCCTACTTGTACCCAATACAAATCCGAGGCGACAAGCGCCAGGCAGGGTAACAACAAGTACCATCTTTTATCGTATCATGGTAGACGCGAAACACAAGAATTCAGACATTAAAGCCAATTTATATGACCATTACGAAGTAGTCATATAGACCTGACTAGCACTGTACTACCACATCTAAAATGTGATTGATTATTTTCCCTAACACATCTATGTTACCCTTACATGGTCCAAAAACTACATATTGTATATACAGTAAACTACGGTTATAACGAACACGCTTATAACGAACTGACGGATATAACGAACTTACTTTTTGGTCCCGACTACTTGCTGTAGCCATGCTGTATATGTACTTATAACGAACTACGGTTATAACGAACTAAAATTAGTAGTCCCTTTGAGTTCGTTATAACCGTAGTTTACTGTACTTTGAACAATAATATCGATGAAATATCCGCCCTCCCATGTCTTCCAACAGGTATCTACTACCTGGGCTGTTCTTCCTTCTATGTGATGGTTATATCGACATGGTGTATACACTGTTCTTCCTTCTATGTGATGGTTATATCGACATGGAGTATACACTGTTCTCCCTTCTAGGTGATGGTTATATCGACATGGTGTATACACTGTTCTTCCTTCTATGTGATGGTTATATCGACATGGTGTATACACCGTTCTTCTTTCTAGGTGATGGTTATATCGACATGGTGTATACACTGTTCTTTCTTCTATGTGATGGTTATATCGACATGGTGTATACACTGTTCTTCTTTCTAGGTGATGGTTATATCGACATGGTGTATACACCGTTCTTCTTTCTAGGTGATGGTTATATCGACATGGTGTATACACTGTTCCTCCTTCTAGGTGACGGTTATATCGACATGGTGTATACACTGTTCTTCCTTCTAGGTGATGGTTATAGCGACATGGTGTATACACTGTTCTTCCTTCTAGGTGATGGTTATATCGACATGGTGTATACACTGTTCTTCCTTCTAGGTGATGGTTATAGCGACATGGTGTATACACTGTTCTTCCTTCTAGGTGATGGTTATATCGACATGGTGTATACACTGTTCTTCCTTCTAGGTGATGGTTATATCGACATGGTGTATACACTGCTCTTCCTTCTAGGTGATGGTTATATCGACATGGTGTATACACTGTTCTTCCTTCTAGGTGATGGTTATATCGACATGGTGTATACACTGCTCTTCCTTCTATGTGATGGTTATATCAACATGGTGTATACACTGTTCTTCCTTCTAGGTGATGGTTATATCGACATGGTGTATACACTGTTCTTCCTTCTAGGTGATGGTTATATCAACATGGTGTATACACTGTTCTTCCTTCTATGTGATGGTTATATCGACATGGTGTATACACTGTTCTTCCTTCTATGTGATGGTTATATCGACATGGTGTATATACTGTTCTTCCTTCTAGGTGACGGTTATATCGACATGGTGTATACACTGTTCCTCCTTCTAGGTGACGGTTATATCGACATGGTGTATACACTGTTCTTCCTTCTAGGTGATGGTTATATCGACATTGTGTAGACACTGTTCTTCCTTTTAGGTGATGGTTATATCGACATGCTGTATACACTGTTCTTCCTTATAGGTGATGGTTATATGGGCATGGTGTATACACAGTTCTTCCTTCTAGGTGATGGTTATATCGACATTGTGTAGACACTGTTCTTCCTTCTAGGTGATGGTTATATAGACATGCTGTATACACTGTTCTTCCTTCTAGGCGATGGTTTTATCGACATCGAGGAGTTACGGACGGCGTTGCGGTCGTGTATGGTGGAGAGCTCGGTGAAGCTGGGAGAGGAGGAACTGGACATGCTGACTCAGGCATTATTCGAAGAAGCAGATGAAGACAACAGTGGGCAGATTACCATTGACGAATTGTCAGCGGTGATTCAGAAGAACCCGGGAGTAAAGGAGAATCTATCTGTAGGGTGAGCAAAAGAACATCTCTAAGGGGTAGTCTGGACCAACAGCACTTACAGATACACTGCCTCATGTTTGATCATACACTGAGTCATCCTTGATGATACACCAGATCATGTTTGATCATACACTGGATCAGGTTTGATCCTACACAGGATCAGGTTTGATCTAAACTGCCTCATGTTTGATCATACACTGAGTCATCCTTGATGAAACACCAGATCATGTTTGATCATACACTGGATCAGGTTTGATCCTACACAAGATCATGTTTGATCTAAACTGCCTCATGTTTGATCATACACTGAGTCCTCCTTGATGATACACCAGATCATGTTTGATCATACACTGGATCAGGTTTGATACTACACGGGATATGTTTGATCATAAACTGGATCAGGTTTGATCCTACACAGGATCAGGTTTGATCTACACTGCCTCATGTTTGATCATACACTGACTCATCCTTCATGATACATCAGATCATGTTTGATCATACACTGGATCAGGTTTGATCTAAACTGCCTCATGTTTGATCATACACTGAGTCATCCTTGATGATACACCATATTATGTTTGATCTACACTGTTTCATGTTTGATCATACAGTGACTCATCCTTGATGATACACCAGATCATGTTTGATCATACACTGGATCAGGTTTGATCTAAACTGCCTCATGTGTGATCATACACTGAGTCATCCTTGATGATACACCAGATCATGTTTGATCATAAACTGGATTAGGTTTGATCCTACACTGCCTCATGTTTGATCATACACTGGATCAGGTTTGATCATACACTGGATCAGGTTTGATTATACACAGGATCATGTTTGCTCATACACAGGATCATGTTTGCTCATACACAGGATCATGTTTGGTAAAACACAAAATCATGTTTGATCCTACACAGGATCATGTTTGGTCATACTTTGGATTCGGTTTGGTCAAACACTATATCATGTTTGATCTTACACTGGATCGTGGTTAGCCCTTTGTTTGTACGACTTAGGACGATCGGGATTTTTGACTGTGTGACTTGACCATGTGGCATCGTATCCCGACTGCGTGGATCGATGCTCTTGCGTTCGATCACTGGTTTGGACCCGTGAAGATCCGGGGTAGAATAGTTCTCCAGCAACCCATGCTTGCCGTAAAAGGCGACTATGCTTGTCGTAAAAGGCGACTAACGGGATCGGGTGGTAAGGCTCGCTGACTTGGTTGATGCATGTCATCGATCGCAATTGCGTGGATCGATGCTCATGATATCAATCACTGGATTGTCTGGTCCAGATTATTTACAGACCGCCGTCATATAGCTGGAATATTGCTGAGTGCGGCGTAAAACAACCAACCAACCAACCATCCAAATCATCACTTGTTTGCCTGTTCATTTAAAGGATGTATGATATTGCTGACTGCAGCGTAAAACAGCACTGAATTATTCTGTGCATTTATAAGGCTCTATACATTTGTAAGGCTCCGTCGATTCTCCTTTCATATGCAGCCTGTCTTACCTTCACTGGTAATATTGATTATATTGATGCATCATTATTGATATTTATCATAGAAACACTGGCTAATTTGGTGTCCTGTTTGGCTTGCAGTGTAGAACAATGGCTCAAACCGCCCACTAAAGCCAAGAAGAAGGGAAATCGGCACCTGACGAAAGCCTACTTCCTCAACAACCTCCGCAAAATATCCTTCTTCGCCATATTGATGCTCCTCAACTGCATCCTGTTTGCTGTGGGCTGCTGGAACTACCGGACATCCAACTGGTGCATCATAGTAGCCAGAGGATGCGGCCTCTGTCTCAACTTCGACTGCACCTTCATAGTTGTTCTAATGCTCCGGAAGTGCATCACCTGGCTGCGTGCGACGCCTGTTGGTCACCTGCTTCCGCTTGACCAGCATATCATGTTCCACAAGTTGACGGGCATCTTAATCATGCTGTTTACTATTCTTCATACTGGAATGCATATCGGGAACGCAAGTAAGTAAACTATGTTGCGTTGCAGACATGTATGTTAATAAATGTTCCCCGAAATAGCGACCGTAGCCTTAGAACTATAAGGGACGGTCGGGTAGCCTAGTGGTTAAAGCGTTCGCTCGTCACGCCGAAGACCCGGGTTCGATTCCCGACATGTGTATAATGTGTGAAGCCCATTTCTGGTGTCCCCAGCCGTGATATTGCTGGAATACTGCTAAAAGCTGCGTAAAACCATACTCACTCGCTTATAACTATGAAGCTTTATTCCGTCTTTATTCTCAGCATTACGCGTTCTTTACGCTTAATATGTACAATCATAACGTTTAGGTCAACGGAGTAGCCCAGTGGTTAAAGCGTTCGCTTGTCACACCAAAGGTCCAGGTTCGATTCCCAACGTGGGCATAAAGGGTATAATATTCCTATTGCTAGTGTCATCCATCCTGATATTGCTGAAATTTGGCTAAAAGTGATTGCACACCGAAGGTCTAAGTTCGATTCCCAAAGTGGGTATAATAATCCTATTGCCGGTATCCTCCACCATGCTTTTGCTGAAATATTGCTGAAATATTGCTGAAAGCTCACTCATAACCGCAAATATTCCTTATATCATCGTGTCATGTTTACAGATGCTCAATCGGATATTCTAGATTATTTACATTTCTTCTGCTACTGATGAGGATGTTGATTGGGTATGCAGGGAGTCGACCCACTAGATCCTGCTGTAAAATGAGCCAGTGGGTTAGTCACCAGGTTTCAATGGAGCAGTGATGCTTTTGCATAACACATGCAATACTGGGCGTTACCCGTGCAGTGAAACATCACTTGAGGTCACGTGGAAGCCGTGTCATGTAAATGTCAGCGATGATCAGTTCCACGTGGTAATCAGATCCATCCAGAAGAAATATAGCCAGTGTAAACGTATCTCGGACTGTGAAATTGAGCACATGCCTGTGGAACACATTTGGTGTGATTCGAAGAAATGAACTTTGTATGTAATGTCCAAACGCTGACATTTATATATCAGTGAGTGAGTGAGTGAGTGAGTGTGCGAGTATAGTTTTACGCCGCTTTTAGCAATATTCCAGCAATATCACGGCGGGGGACACCAGATATGGACTTTACGCTGTGTACCCATGTCGGGAATCGAACCCGGGTCTTCGGCGTGACGAGCGAACGCTTAAACCACTAGGCTACCCGACCGCCCTTTATTCATATATCAGGGTTAGGGTTAGGGTTAGGGTAATCGTTAGGGTTAGGGTTAGGGTGAGGGTGAGGGTTAGGGTGAGGGTTAGGGTTAGGGAATGCTTTCTTTAGGCAATTTATGCCGCACTGTTAGGGTTAAGTTTTAGGTTATGTTAGGTTAGGGTTTGAGATAGGGTTAGAGTTAGGGTTAGGGTTAGGGTTAGGGAATGCTTTCTTTAGGCAATTTATGCCGCACTGTTAGGGTTAAGTTTTAGGTTAGGTTAGGTTAGGGTTAGAGATAGGGTTAGAGTTATGGTTAGAGTTAGAGTTAGGGTTAGGGTTAGGGTTAGGGAATGCTTTCTTTAGGCAATCTATGCCGCACTGTTAGGGTTAAGTTTTAGGTTATGTAATGTTAGGGTTAGAGTTAGGGTTAGGGTTAGGGAACGCTTTCTGCAGGCAATTCATGCCGGACCTTCAAAACTCCCCGAATAAAATCCCCGTCGTGGTAATTATTTACCAGTAAAACCTTTTCCATGGAAAAAAAATCATCTAGTGAAAATAGTACAAAGGTACACTTTCACTGCGTGAACAAACTCTTTGACATAAACCTGCTACGCCCTGGTTTTCATTGTCGTACACGTTTCCATTTTCTTGCAGCCATGGTAGCCGAGAGTCAGTTCAACCTGACAGTGTCTGTCTTTATGTTTGTTGCAGTCATGGTAGCCGAGAGTCAGTACAACCTGACAGTGTCTGTCTTTATGTTTGTTACAGTCATGGTAGCCGAGAGTCAGTTCAACCTGACAGTGTCTGTCTTTATGTTTGTTGCAGTCATGGTAGCCGAGAGTCAGTACAACCTGACAGTGCCTGTCTTTATGTTTGTTGCAGTCATGGTAGCCGAGAGTCAGTTCAACCTGACAGTGTCTGTCTTTATGTTTGTTGCAGTCATGGTAGCCGAGAGTCAGTTCAACCTGACAGTGTCTGTCTTTATGTTTGTTACAGTCATGGTAGCCGAGAGTCAGTTCAACCTGACAGTGTCTGTCTTTATCTCTGTTGCAGTCATGGTAGCCGAGAGTCAGTTCAACCTGACAGTGTCTGTCTTTATCTCTGTTGCAGTCATGGTAGCCGAGAGTCAGTTCAACCTGACAGTGTCTGTCTTTATGTTTGTTACAGTCATGGTAGCCGAGAGTCAGTACAACCTGACAGTGCCTGTCTTTATGTTTGTTGCAGTCATGGTAGCCGAGAGTCAGTACAACCTGACAGTGTCTGTCTTTATGTTTGTTGCAGTCATGGTAGCCGAGAGTCAGTTCAACCTGACAGTGCCTGTCTTTATGTTTGTTGCAGTCATGGTAGCCGAGAGTCAGTTCAACCTGACAGTGTCTGTCTTTATGTTTGTTACAGTCATGGTAGCCGAGAGTCAGTTCAACCTGACAGTGCCTGTCTTTATCTTTGTTGCAGTCATGGTAGCCGAGAGTCAGTTCAACCTGACAGTACCTGTCTCTATGTTTGTTGCAGTCATGGTAGCCGAGAGTCAGTTCAACCTGACAGTGCCTGTCTTTATCTTTGTTGCAGTCATGGTAGCCGAGAGTCAGTTCAACCTGACAGTGTCTGTCTTTATGTTTGTTGCAGTCATGGTAGCCGAGAGTCAGTTCAACCTGACAGTGTCTGTCTTTATGTTTGTTGCAGTCATGGTAGCCGAGAGTCAGTTCAACCTGACAGTGCCTGTCTTTATCTTTGTTGCAGTCATGGTAGCCGAGAGTCAGTTCAACCTGACAGTACCTGTCTCTATGTTTGTTGCAGTCATGGTAGCCGAGAGTCAGTTCAACCTGACAGTGCCTGTCTTTATCTTTGTTGCAGTCATGGTAGCCGAGAGTCAGTTCAACCTGACAGTGTCTGTCTTTATGTTTGTTGCAGTCATGGTAGCCGAGAGTCAGTTCAACCTGACAGTGTCTGTCTTTATGTTTGTTGCAGTCATGGTACCCGAGAGTCAGTTCAACCTGACAGTGTCTGTCTTTATGTTTGTTGCAGTCATGGTAACCGAGAGTCAGTTCAGCCTGACAGTGTCTGTCTTTATGTTTGTTGCAGTCATGGTAGCCGAGAGTCAGTACAACCTGACAGTGCCTGCCTTCATCTTCACCACACAAGCGGACATCGGCTGGGTGGCCGGCTTCGCTCCTCTCTCTGGTGTTCTGCTCGTCGTCGTCTTCGTCATCATGTTCATCTGTTCCATGCCCTTCGTCAGGAGAAGTGGCTGTTTTGAGGTACATACAAATACTGTATTTCTACTTTGAGTAAATGCGATATGTAAACGTGTACCCTCTGAATAAATGCTTGACCAGTATGTTTTGGCCAGCATTATACTTTCTTACGAGCATGCTTGATTAACCATAACATTATCTGCCTATTATTGGCTCCTACGTTCTGGACACAAATGTTCTATGCGATTCCCAGGTGTTCTCCTGGGCACATTTTCTATGCCACTTTTCCCAGGTGTTCTACTCGAACCAAATGTTCTCTGCTACTATTCCCAGGTGTTATAGTTGACATGCATATTCTATGCTATCCTCCCAGGTGTTCTACTCGACACACTTGTTCTATGCTACTATCCGTAGGTCTTCTACTTGACACACATGTTCTATGATACTGTTGCCCAGTATTCTACTGGACACACGTTCTATGCTACAATTGCCCTGGGTTCTACTGGACACACATCTTCTATGCTACTATTTCCCATTGTTCTACTGGACACATGTTCAATGCTACTAGACCCGTGAAGATTCCGGGGTAGAATAGGTCTTCAGCAATCAATGCTTGCCGTAAAAGGCGACTATGCTTGTCGTAAAAGGCAACTAACGGGATCAGGTGGTCAGGCTCGCTGACTTGGTTAATGCATGTCATCGGTCCCAATTGCGTGGATCGATGCTCATGATATTAATCACTGGATTGTCTGGTCCAGACTCGATTATTTACAGACCGCCGCCATATAGCTGGAATATTGCTGAGTGCGGCGTTAAACAACCAACCAACCAACCAATCAATGCTACTATTCCCCATTGTTCTACTGCACACATGTTCAATGCTACTACTCCCAATTGTTCTGCTGGACACACGTTCTATGCTACTATTCCCCATTGCCCTATGGACACATGTTCAATGCTACTATTCCCCGTTCTACTGGACACACGTTCTATGCTACTTTATTCCCCATTGTCCTATGGACACATGTTCAATGTTACTATTCCCCATTGTCCTATGGACACATGTTCAATGCTACTATTTCCCATTGTTGTACTGGACACATGTTCAATGCTATAATTCCCCATTGTCCTACTGGACACGTTCTATGCTACAATTCCCCATTGTCCTACTGGACACATGTTCAATGCTACTATTCTCCATTGTCCTACTGGACACGTGTTGAATGCTGCTATTCCCCATTGTCCTACTGGACACATGTTCAGTGCTACTATTCCCCATTGTCCTACTGGACACGTGTTCAATGCTACTATTCTCCATTGTCCTACTGGACACATGTTCAATGCTATTATTCCCCATTGTCCTACTGGACACGTGTTGAATGCTGCTATTCCCCATTGTCCTACTGGACACATGTTCAGTGCTATTATTCCCCATTGTCCTACTGGACACGTGTTCAATGCTATTATTCCCCATTGTCCTACTGGACACATGTTCAATGCTATTATTCCCCATTGTTGTACTGGACACACGTTCTATGCTACTATTCCCCATTGTCCTACTGGACACATGTTCAATGCTACTATTCCCCATTGTTGTACTGGACACATCTTCAATGCTACTATTCCCCATTGTCCTACTGGACACATGTTCTATGCTACTATTCCCATTATTCTACTGGACACATCTTCAATGCTACTACTCCCCATTGTCCTACTGGACGCATGTTCTATGCTACTATTCCCCATTCTTGTACTGGGCACATGTTCAATGCTACTATTCCCCATTGTCCTACTGGACACATGTTCAATGCAACTATTCCCAATTGTTGTACTGGACACATGCCCCATGCTACTATTCGCAGGTGTTCTACTGGACACACATGCTGTATATTCCCTTCTGGGTGCTGTTGATCCTGCATTGCCGATACTTCTGGATGTGGTTCATCGTTCCTGGCTTAATGTTCCTCTTGGAGAAGCTGTTCCGCTCCAAAATGATCAAGAGAGTGCGATACGGCAACAGCTTCATTCTGGAGGTCAACCTACTCCCCTCAGAGGTAGGTCATGTGTCTTATAGTTTCTATTCTCGATTACTACATGCATGTATCCAGGGCAGTTAGTTTGGTGATGTCCGACCTTCAAGTACTGGAGTCCATCAGTGGGTGAACAACACAGGGAATGTTTTTCAAAGGAGTGAAAATATATGGTTCATAAATATTATATATTAACTCAGAAATAACTCGCGAAAATATATAAACCATTATATTTGCACTCCCTGTTAAAACCCATATCCCGCCAAAATGCCTACGACACTTGTCATGGAGAGCGAAAAGGTTAATGACCTTTCTGTAATTATAGTTAATAAAGTGAAAGACGACAAAACCCTTTACTCAATCATGAGAAGCTCTCCGGAAAGCAGAGTCCGCTGTATGATTCCGACTATACCATAATAGGGCGGCACGGGTGGCCCAGTCGTCTTAGGCGCCGCGATTCGCTGTGCAGAGTTGCACGCCAGAAACCTATGATTGTGGGCTCGAATCCCGGTTCGCCCCGATTATATTTCTAGGTTTGTCAGCACCATACCCGTGCTCGTGGGTTTCACCGAAGTGGTAAACGTCTGAGACCTGCATCACTTCGGGCTTTCCTCCCACATTAAGCTGACACGCCGAGATATAACTGGAATACTGTTAAAAGCGGCGTTAAACCCAACTCACTCACTCACTCACTCATTATCAAATAGTGATGATACCAGGTGTTCGCGAAAAGGCGAACATATCCTGCCGCCTTGGTAGAACCCGTCTCAAACAAACGCAAAGGCAACTTAATTGTTCACCTGAAAAAACATGCATTTTTACAGGCATCAAATCTACAAATGTCATCCATTTTTTGAAAGCTTTACTACATGTACAGTTCTTTGATCAAACAACTGATGTAGTAATGCTTACATATAATGGTTATGTTATTCCAGGCCTTGTCAGTGGGAACAACTACACAATTTTCATCTTGGGGAACCAGGACTGTAGATGACAGAATGAGTTTATTCCAACTTCCGTAAAAAATCATAACTGGAATTAATTGTTTTTGCACACACAAATATCATATTTACAAATGTACAATACCTCCTTACGGTATACCCCTTTTCCCTATATAACACTGTGCTCTTTCCCCAGTGTATTGCCCTTATTCCTAGAACAATGTGTTATCATCCTACTGTATTCCCCTTGTTCCTAGAACAATGTGATATCTCCCTACTGTATTCCCCTTGTTCCTAGAACAATGTGATATCTCCCTACTGTATTCCCCTTGTTCCTAGAACAATGTGATATCTCCCTACTGTATTCCCCTTGTTACTAAAACAATGTGATATCTCCCTACTGTATTCCCTTGTTCCGAGAACAATATGTTATCTTACTACTGTATTCCCCTTGTTCCGAGAACAATGTGTTATCTCACTACTGTATTCCCCTTGTTCCTTGAACAGTGTGTTATTTCCCTACTGTATTCCCCTTGTAACTAAAACAATATGTTATCTCCCTCCTGTATTCCCCTTGTTCCGAGAACAATATGTTTTCTCCCTACTGTATTCCCCGTGCTCCTAGAACAATGTGTTATCTCACTACTGTATCCCCCTTGTTCCTAGAACAATGTGTTATCTCCCTACTGTATTCCCCTTGTTACTAGAACAATGTGTTATCTCCCTACTGTATTCCCCTTGTTCCTAGAACAATATGTTATCTCCCAACTGTATTCCCCTTGTTACTAGAACAATGTGTTATCTCCCTACTGTATTCCCCTTGTTACTAAAACAATGTGATATCTCCCTACTGTATTCCCTTGTTCCGAGAACAATATGTTATCTCACTACTGCATTCCCCTTGTTCCGAGAACAATGTGTTATCTCCCTACTGTATTCCCCTTGTTACTAGAACAATATGTTATCTCCCTACTGTTTTCCCTCTGTTTCTAGAACAAAGTGTTATCTCCCTTCTGTATTCCCCTTGTTACTAGAACAATGTGTTATCTCCCTTCTGTATTCCCCTTGTTCCTAGAACAAAGTGTTATCTCCCTTCTGTATTCCCCTTGTTCCTAGAACAATGTGTTATCTCCCTACTGTATTCCCTTGTTCCTAGAACAATGTGTTATCTCACTACTGTATTCCCCTTGTTCCGAGAACAATGTGTTATCTCACTACTGTATTCCCCTTGTTCCTAGAACAAAGTGTTATCTCCCTTCTGTATTCCCCTTGTTCCTAGAACAATGTGTTATCTCCCTACTGTATTCCCCTTGTTCCTAGAACAATGTGTTATCTCACTACTGTATTCCCCTTGTTCCGAGAACAATGTGTTATCTCACTACTGTATTCCCCTTGTTCCGAGAACAATGTGTTATCTCCCTACTGTATTCCCCTTGTTCCTAGAACAATGTGTTATCTCACTACTGTATTCCCCTTGTTCCGAGAACAATGTGTTATCTCACTACTGTATCTCCTTGTTACTAGAACAATGTGTTATCTCACTACTGTATCTCCTTGTTCCTAGAACAATGTGTTATCTCACTACTGTATTCCCCTTGTTCCGAGAACAATGTGTTATCTCACTACTGTATTCCCCTTGTTCCGAGAACAATGTGTTATCTCACTACTGTATCTCCTTGTTACTAGAACAATGTGTTATCTCACTACTGTATCTCCTTGTTCCTAGAACAATGTGTTATCTCACTACTGTATTCCCCTTGTTCCGAGAACAATGTGTTATCTCACTACTGTATTCCCCTTGTTCCGAGAACAATGTGTTATCTCCCTACTGTATTCCCCTTGTTCCTAGAACAATGTGTTATCTCACTACTGTATTCCCCTTGTTCCGAGAACAATGTGTTATCTCACTACTGTATCTCCTTGTTACTAGAACAATGTGTTATCTCACTACTGTATCTCCTTGTTCCTAGAACAATGTGTTATCTCACTACTGTATTCCCCTTGTTCCGAGAACAATGTGTTATCTCACTACTGTATCTCCTTGTTACTAGAACAATGTGTTATCTCCCTTCTGTATTCCCCTTGTTCCTTGAACAATGTGTTATCTCACTACTGTATTCCCCTTGTTCCTAGAACAATGTGTTATCTCCCTTCTGTATTCCCCTTGTTCCGAGAACAATGTGATATCTCCCTACTGTATTCCCCTTGTTCCTAGAACAATGTGTTATATCCCTTCTGTATCCCCCTTGTTCCTGGAACTATGTGCTATCGCCCTACTTATCCCCCTTGTTCCTGGAACAATGTGCTATCGCCCTACTTATTCCCCTTGTTCCTAGAACAATGTGTTATCTCCCTACTGTTAGTCTGTCTTACAGACCCTGATACAAATATATATCAAAAATAGCCCATGCAAGTCTATAATGTTTGGCAAGTCTAGATCACTGCAGTATTTTATTATATTTTTATTAAGATAACTGAACAACTGTTTTTTTATGTACGATATGTTCATTTCAGAGACTAAATGTTAGTCTACCCTACTGTATCTCCTTGTTCCTGGAACAATGTGTTATCTCCCTACTGTATTCCCCTTGTTCCTGGAACAATGTGTTATCTCCCTACTGTATTCCCCTTGTTCCTAGAACAATGTGATATCTCCCTACTGTATTCCCCTTGTTACTAGAACAATATGTTATCTCCCTACTGTATTCCCCTTGTTCCTGGAACAATGTGTTATCTCCCTACTGTATTCCCCTTGTTCCTAGAACAATGTGATATCTCCCTTCTGTATTCCCCTTGTTACTAGAACAATGTGATATCTCCCTTCTGTATTCCCCTTGTTCCTAGAACAATGTGTTATCTCCCTACTGTATTCCCCTTGTTCCTGGAACAATGTGTTATCTCCCTACTTATTCCTCTTGTTCCCACCAGGTGACACACCTTGTTATATCCAAGCCGCCGAACATGCGGTTCCAGCCAGGGGACTATCTCTTCATCCAGATTCCTGACATCGCTAGCTCAGAATGGCATCCATTCACCATCAGCAGTGCCCCGGAGTTGGAAGGTACGGGACTTAATTAATTAGTTGTCAACAAGGCAACACAGTTGAATCCCGTTGTCTCGAACTCGGATGTATCGAATTCCCTGCTGTGTCGAACTCACAGTCCGGTTCGGGCTAGGTCGGTAATAAAGGTCGAGTTGGCTGTGTCGAACTTCGGACAAGTCAATCTATTTCTTCGGTCGCCAGGAGTTCGAGACAACGCCGTTCGTCTGTAATACTTATCTCAAGTTAGCTCGATTTAACATAATGTAACTCTATGTACCAGAGGCACGCCCCACAAAGCTATATTAGCGACTGCCGTAGTGAGGTGAGGTGAAATGGGGTTTAACGTCGCGTCCAAGATTATTGCACTTATATAGCGACGTGCATGCACGTGTATGGGTGTGTGTGTGGCTGCTTGTACTAGTCCGGACTGATGCCGATTTATAGTGCTAGCACACTGAGATACCATGCCGCAGTTTAACATGAATACCCCACTCAGACACAGTATGAAGCTGGTTAGCTTACTCTGTACACTCAACACATTGATTATTACTATTTACAAACTGAAAACGATGATGATACATAGAATCTAATCCTAGTTTACTGTATTCGAACTGACCGCATCCGTGGTCTAGTGGTAGAGCGGAAGGTCCGGGGTTCGATGCCCAGCCGCGTCATACCAAAAGACGTTAAAAGATGGTACTTGTTTCCCTGTCTGGCGCTCGGCATTAAGGGGCTAAAACAAGGACTGGTCGGCTCAGAGTCAGTATACTGTGTCTGAGTGGGGTATTCATGTTAAACTGCGGCGTGGTATCTCAGTGAGCTCTAGTATCGGACTAGTACAAGCAGCCACACACACACACACACACACACACACACACACACACACACACACACACACACACACACACACACACACACACACACACACACACACAAACGTACATGCACGTCGCTATATAAGTGCGATAATCTTTGACGCGACGTTAAACCCCATTTTACCTCACCTGTATTCGAACTGTTCCTGAACTGTTTCGGCCATTTGGCCTTATGAAGGATAAACGTTAAAGGGATTGTGTTGGCCACGTAGTAAGTCTTATTATCACTATATGTTCATGATTAGTGTTCCTCTCACCCGTTGAATGCTGTCTTAACACTGACCTTCATTACACTTGTTTCTCACAGATCGCCTGTGGCTGCACGTGCGGTCAGCGGGACATTGGACAAAGAAGCTCTATGAATATTTCAACACTTACGAGGCCAAGAAAACAACTCAACATAAGGCACATGTCAATAAAGGTAAATACACAGTCGGGGGCACGGGTAGCCCAGTCGTCGAGATTCGCTGTGCAGTGTTGCGTCCCTTGGGTACGCCAGAATCCGGTTCGCCCCGATCATGTTTCTTGTTTTGTCAGTACCATACCCGTGCTCGTGGGTTTCACCGAAGTGATAAACGTCTCAGACCTGCATCATTTCGGGCTTACCTCCCACATTAAGCTGACACGCCGTGATTTAACTGGAATACTGTTAAAAGCGCCCTTGAACCCAACTCACTCCCTCATGCATGTCATCGTATCCCAATTGCGTGGAGTGAGTGAGTGAGTATGGTTTTACGCCGCTTTTAGCAATATTCCAGCAATATCACGGCGGGGGACACCAGAAATGGGCTTCACACATTGTACCCATGTCGGGAATCGAACCCGGGTCTTCGGCGTGACGAGCGAACGCTTTAACCACTAGGCTACCCGACCGCCCCCCAATTGCGTGGATCGATCCTCATGATGTCAATTACTGAATTGTCTGGTCCAGACTCGATTATTTTACAGACCGCCGTAAACAACAAACAAACAAACAACACAAGCAGTAACACTTTATATTTCATGAAATCACTGAGTGGCGTCAAAACGAATAACACTGTACAGTAAACTACGTTTATAACGAACACGCTTATAACGAACTGACCGATATAACGAACTTTTTTTAGTCCCGAACATTTGTTGTAAAAATGTTGTATATACGCTTATAACGAACTATGGTTATTACGAACTACAATTAGGGTCCCTTCGAGTTATAACCGTAGTATACTGTATATGTGCTCAAATCACGGAGTAACGCTGTCTATTTAATCAAATCACTCACGAACGGTTAAACCACTGACTCACACTGCAAATACTGTCGGACACTGGTGTTTCGAACCTAGCGGGAGCCTTTTGTTACTTCGGAATAGGAGGCACGGGTGGCCCAGCCGTCTAACGTGCCGCGATTCGCTGTGCAGAGTTGCGTCCCTTGGGCACGCCAGAAACCTATGATTGTGGCTTCGAATCCCGGTTCGCCCCAATTATGTTTCTAGGTTTGTCAGCACCATACCCGTGCTCGTGGGTTTCACCGAAGAGGTAAACGTCTTAGACCTTTATCACTTCGGGCTTTCCCCCCACATTGAGCAGACACGCCGTCATATAACTCGAATACTGTTAAAAGCGGCGTTAAACCCAACTCACTCACTTACTACTTCGGAATATCCAGACATTCGCGACAGAGAGGTATGGACCGTCAGTCAGCCAGATCAAACACCAGATTGTGTAATATTGATCCACAGCAGTAGGAAAAGTTTAGAATACAACAGGTGTATGCGATGACTAATTGAAACTTATTTCGCAGGGAATAATCAATAAATAGTGTGACAAATGTAGATTTGCACATGTATTACGTGACAGATTGTCAACAGCGGAGTGAGATGCACGCGGTCTTGATTTTTTTACAAACTTGTATAATTTTTAACGAAACAAGTCAGGGAGAGATATTAATTTGCACCTAATGCCCATTGCTTCTTTGGAAGAAACTGATTGTTTGTTTGTTGTTTAACGCCGCACTCAGCAATATTCCAGCTGTATGACGGCGGTCTTTAAATAATCGAGTCTGGACCAGACAATCCTTTGATTGACATCACGAGAATCGATCCACGCAATTGGGATATGATGACATGCGTCGACCAAGTCGCGAGCCTGACCACCCGATCCCGTTAGTCGCCTCTTACGACCTATTCTGTCCCGAATCTTCATGGGTCTGTATGATACTGAGTTAGGCAATGTTGCAAGCGATCTCTGGTTTTCACGTTATTCCGGATTCCACAGCCTGTGTCAAGGATAATTGCTTACAGTTATGTGAAATGCTTACTTGCGCTGTTCGAGATTATTACCAGTGAAGGTCCGGGTTACAATAGGTCTTGAGCAAGCCATGCTTGTCGTAAGAGGCCACTAACGGTATCGGGTGGACAGGCTCGCTGACTTGGTTCATACATGTCATCGTGTCCTAATTGCGTGGATCGTTGCTCGTGATTGTCAGTCACTGGATTGTCTGGTCCATACTCGATTATTTACGTCGTTCAGATGCATATTGCTGAGTGCGGCGTTAACCAAAAAACAAACGTACGAACTAGTGGTCAAATTATATGTATTTGTATTGTGAGGCATTCGAGAACAAAGATTAGTTTCGAGATAACAGTTCTCGAGATAACAGTTCTCGATGTATGTCCAAATCACTGAGTTACACAGTGTATATGGTCAAATCACAGGTATAAATGTCCACATCACAGAATAAAACAGTTACTGTATATATGGTCAAATCATTTAATAGCACTATATATATGATCAAACCGCACTCGTTGCTTCAGGTTATCCTCTGTTATCAAATTCACACTTAATTTTTCTTTATCGTGTTTATTTTTTCAGCGTTTGACAAGGCGACATCTGACGCCCATCGCAACGTAGACACTACCGTCAGCATCCGGTCCGTCCAACTCATTACAGATTTCGCCAAGTCAAGAAAATTTAAAAAATCTTACAAGGTATATTGATGAAAACGTCAAAATCCAGCATTAAAGATGGGAGATTTAATTCCCAGAAACCTACAAAAGCAATCTACACTCATCGATGGGGGCTTACACAATGCTTTCGGGGCGGTGGGGTAGCCTAGTGGTTAAAGCGTTCGCTCGTCACGCCGAAGACCCGGGTTCGATTCCCCACATGGGTACAATGTGTGAAGCCCATTTTCCGGTGTCCCCTGCCGTGATATTGCTGGAATATTGCTAAACGCGGCGTAAAAAACACACTCACTCACTCACACAATGCTTTCGCTAAATGATGGGTCATGGCTGAACACTGGTCGCTGGTCTGTCCATTCTTTATAACAATATTGGTGGATGTGCTCTGATCTTCCTGTCATCTTCGGTGGCACGGGTGGCACAGTCGTCTAAGGCGCCGACATTCGCTGTGCAGAGTTGCGTCCCTTGGGCACGCCAGTGAGTTCGAATCCTGGTTCGCCCTGTTTATGTTTCTAGGTTTGTCAGCACCATACCCGTGCTCGTGGGTTTCACCGAGGTGGTAAACGTCTTAGACCTGCATGACTTCGGGCTTTCCTCCTACATTAAGCTGACACGCCGTGATAGAACTGGAATAATGTTAAAAGCAGCGTTAAACCCAACTCACTCACTCACTCACTCACTCACTCACTCACTTCATGTCATCTTCATATTCATGAGTTGCGTCCCTTGGGCACGCCAGAAACTTATGATCGTGGGTTCGAATCCCGGTTCGCCCCGATTATGTTTCTAGGTTTGTCAGCACCATACCCGTGCTCGTGGGTTCCACCGAAGTGGTAAACGTCTGAGACCTGCATCACTTCGTTGGTGCTTCGGGCTTTTCTCCAGCATTAAGTTGACACGCCATGATATAAATGGAATTGTGTTCAAAGTGGCGTTGACCCAACCTTTCTCACTGACTGATCTTCCTGTAGGAGTGAGTGAGTGCTTTCAGCAATATTCCAGCAATATCACGTCGAGGGACACCAGCATTGTACCTCCATGGAGAATCGAACTCGGTCCTTCGGCGTGACAAGCGAACCCTTAAAGCACTGAGTTGCCCCACAGTTCAAGTGATTGAGTGAGTGAATATGGTTTTGCGCCGCTTTTAGCAATATTCCAGCAATAAAAATAACTTTGTTATAACCTGTATATAATTAATTATATTTACTTTTGCTTTTTATCCAGTCACGAAAATCTACCTACAAAAGAAAGGCTGAGACACATAAAGTTGTCAACGTGCAGGTGAGTTGGGACCGACCTTTTTATTTTCTTGTGGGGAATGGAGGGGGGTGGGGGGTGGTGTTACTGAAAATGCTTGAATAAATATTTTTTCTTATGATTATTGTAAAAACAGGAAAGTATCTGACCAAAAAGATACACTGTTGAAAGATATATATTTTTTATATAAGTACTTAGTCCCATATTTTAATTAGGAGAATATGTAGTTTTCAATCTGTAGTATTTGGATGGTCCGTTCATTTTAAACGATTATTATTTTGATGATTGAGAGTGTTGGCAACACTATCGTGTTTTCTGAGGGGTTACTGGTTTTTGTGTGGAATAATGGACAAGATGGAGGATGGGGGAACAGTGTTGTCGAAGATGTTTGGGAGAGCGAGGGTGCAGGGAATATTTGTCGAGTGGTAGTTGTGCGATCGAGGTAGTAGGGTGGATGTTTACTGCTTTAGTGAATTAGAGCATGGGTCTTAACGAAGCACACACATGTATTTATGGATTTTACTTATTCTTTACAGTATCCCGCCTATTGACAAATCGCATATTCCTCATTCCAGTGCTATATAGACGGGCCGTACGGTACTTCCTCACGAGAGATTTTTGAAACCGAGCACGCTGTTCTGATTGGCTCCGGTATCGGCGTGACTCCCTACGCCTCCATCCTACAGAGCATCATGTACAGGTTCAAGGCCTACAAGAGATGCTGCCCCAGCTGTACCCACTCCTGGTATGATGAAGTACCGCCACACGTCATGAACCTCAAGAAGGTCAGTACCAGCATGGCGTGGTTGGAGTTTGATGATAGTAGTTAGCACCGCAGTAACGAGGGATTCATGAGGGCTTGGTAATTAGGGAAAGTCTTTGACAAACAACATCCAGGTCAGAAGAGGTTCTTTCTTCACCCACAGGCTTGTCATATGGCACAATTTGTTTCTGGATCCATATGATTCTAATTCAGGCAGACCGCCTCCATTGGGTAGTTGATAGAGCGTTTGCCCAGATAGCAGGTCGGTGGTTAGATCACCTGGCTTCGTCATACAAGACTTTAAAATATGTTACTCTGCCTGACATTCGTCATTGAGGAGTAAAATCCTGATTAGAGTTGATCTTCAGCAACCCATGCTTATCGTAAGAGGCGACTAACTGGATCGGGTGGTCAGGGTCGCTGACTTCGTGGATGGATGTCATCGTGTCTCAGTTACGTGGACCGATGCTCATTATATCATTCACGTGATTGTCTGGTCCAGACTCGATTATTTACAGACCGCCGTCATATAGCTGGAATATTGCTGAGTGCGGCGTTAAACAAACAAATAAACAGTCCTTGCTATTGCGTTCAATCATCTGTTTTTATCAACATCTTAACTTTGATGTCCTCTCATCTCTCTAAACTATAAATTGACGTTTAATTTCCTTTCCTTCAAGGTTGACTTCATCTGGATCAACCGTGACCAGAAGTCGTTCGAGTGGTTCGTCAGCCTTCTCACTCAGTTAGAAATGGAACAGACTATGGAAGGCGGGCTGGGCAACATGATCGAGATGCACATGTATATGACTGCAGCACTTAACAAGACGGACCTGAAAGGAATCGGCTTACAGATGGCCCTTGACCTCATCCATAAGAAACAAGACAAAGACCTGTTGACGGGGCTGAAAACACGCACACAGCCAGGGAGACCCAACTTCAGAAAGGTAGTGAGATGCAATATGACTTACCTGCATACGTTAGTAACCAGTGGAGTTCAAATATTTAACAAAATATGTACGCTCATTTATATTTTGACGACAGTATATCCCCACCTGCCTCGTGGTACCCACTATACAGGGTCCTGCTTTCCTAAATAAAAAAAACAAACTCATCAACATGAGCTTCAGGTATGTCGATGATCTGATATCGTTCAATAACCATCAAATTCCCTTCCACCGACTTACGGGCGGTCGGGTAGCCTAGTGGTTAAAGCGTTCGCTCGTCACGCCAAAGACCAGGGTTCGATTCTCTACATGGGTACAATGTGTGAACCCATTTCTGGTGTCGCCTGCCGTGACATTGCTGGAATATGGCTAAAAGCGGCGTAAAACCTCACTCACTGATTTACCCACCTGAACAATAAATAAAGGAGACCAGAGAGACCGCCTCATCTGTTTCATAGTTAGATCTATGCATAAAGTGTCAGAGTGACAAAACACTCTCCACAATAGCGTATGACCAGAACGATGACTTTCCAATCGCCAACTTCCCTTTATGTCGAGCAATATTCCAGCAGCTTCTTTCGGTGTCTGGATTTCATCACAATTGAGTGAGTGAGTTGGGTTTAACGCCGCTTTTAACAGTGTTCCAGTTATATCACGGCGTGTCAGCTTAATGTGGGAGGAAAGCCCGAAGTGGTGCAGGTCTCAGACGTTTACCACTTCGGTGAAACCCACGAGCACGGGTATGGTGCTGACAAACCTAGAAACATAATCGGGGTGAACCGGGATTCGAACCCACAATCATAGGTTCCTGGCGTGTCCAGGGGACGCAACTCTGCACAGCGAATCGCGGCGCCTTAGACGACTGGGCCACCCGTGGCCCCCTCACCACAATTGAGGTGCAATCGAGCATTCTCGTTCCTCATAGATATCAAAGAGTGTCATATATATGACGCTTGTTGAGAAGTTGTTTGATCAGGGTAACAACATTCAAGGCTATCAAACGTTTGTTGGAAATCATGTTGATCATGGGGACATTTCTAAATTTGACGAATCAGTGACCGAAATGCAATTACATGTTTAACTGATACCATTTGTTCCCGGTTTTTTTCCTCAGGTGAACAGTTGACTTGTCTTTGCATGTGTTTGTGATGGTCTCGACCATTGGGGCAGGATAGTCATTGATTGCCATTCATAACCATATGCTCACGATATAGTTGGAATCTTACAATCAACTCTGCTTTTGGGAGCAGTTTCTTATGGATAGGATAGGGTTTTCTCTCACATATTTACAAACGTTATTTGGGGCGGTCGGGTAGCCTAGTGGTTAAAGCGTTCGCTCGTCACGCCGAAGACTCGGGTTCGATTCCCGACATGGGTACAATGTGTGAAGCCCATTTCTGGAGTCCCCCGCCGTGATATTGTTGGAATATTGCTAAAAGCGGCGTTAAACCATACTCACTCACTCACTCACAAACGTTATTTTAGCAATTTGTTAAAGAAAAGCATACCTATTTTTCAGCTCTTCGCCAAGATCGCAGCTGAGAAGAAGGGGAACGTGAAGGTGTTCTTCTGCGGCCACCCGATGCTGGGGAAGTCCATTAAACAACATTGTGAGGCGTTCGGATTCAGCTTCTGTAAGGAGAACTTCTAGGCCTGCACCCTCGGACTCAGGTCTCATAGTGCTTGTCCTCGTATACATACTTCCAAATTCGCTTAACTCTTGCGACACCCTAACCACACTTTAAGGGAAACTGCTGTGATATACCTTTGCTTTACGCTGCTGGAACACTCTTCTAGCCTCATCACGGATGAGGGCATTATACATGAGCTGCAGAAACTGTAACCTTGATCCGTCGTAGCTGAAGTCGTGACGAACCAACGTCTTCCAGCCCCATTGCATCTGCTTGTTGTAGAGGATAAGGTTATATTTGGGGTTTTGGGTGCATTGTCCAAATTTATAACATTTCATGTCCGAGTCAATGGTGTGTAAGTGTATTTCCGTTAGGAATAAATGTTGTTGGCGTTTGTTGCTTAACGCCGCATTCAAGAATATTCCAGCTATGTGACGGCGGTCTGTAAATAATCGAGTCTTGACCAGACAATTCAGTGATTGACATGAGCATTGGGTTACGATGACACGCATTAATTAAGTCAGCGAGCCTGGCCACCCGATCCCGTTAGTCGCCTTTTACGACAAGCATAGTCATATTTTTCGGCAAACATGGGTTGCTGAGGACCTATTCTAACAGGATTGTCTGGTCCAGACTCGATTATTTACAGACCGCCGTCATATGGCTGTACTATTGCTGAGTGCGGCGTTAAACAACAAACAAACAATCTGGCCATCAAAATATATAGACACGACATCCGGATCTACCATTGATGACATCGCATGTTGGGGATGCGTTTGTTCAATAATCTGTTGTTACATGTTTCAATTCTTAATTTGCCAGTGCGGTTTAACAATTTACTCTATGTTATATAATATCATGTGTATAATTCGCAAAAGAAACAGGACCGTATTCAACGTAATAAGCGCCAAGGGCGCTCTCAAAATTAGAAATAGGGGGCGCGTATTAGAATATTATTTTAAGTTGAAAGATCGTAAATTTCGTGGTTTATGCTAACAGCCTGAAGTGTTTACATACGACAGATATATTTTTCAAGAATTTAATTGCCCATAATTAAGATTAATACAACACAAGAGTGCGTATTATACACGAATAAATAAGTCCTGTGTACATTGATCAATCGGAAGGGAATCGGATTGGGATTATTCACTAGCCAATATGTTAGCAAATATCGCCGTGGGCGCTTATTAGAGCGGGGCGCTTATTACGTCGAATACGGTATATATGGTTGAATGGTACTGTGTGTGTGTTCTTTGCATCAAGTCAAGGATAAGGGTGATCTCCCCCGGATAAGAGTGATCTCCCCTTAGTCTGTATATACTGTTGAGCGTCTTATTTCAACGTTATTCGTGTGCAATATTTGATATGCAATTAGGCCAGACTCATATTTCATAAACCACGCTTCCTGCTTGTTGGGAAGGTTGGCTTCATTTACAAAAGTCCTTTACCTTTGATTCATTTATCCGGATAAAGGTTAACCCGGTGGTATTATTGGGATCGACATGTCTGGATAACTAGGGTTTCATTGCTTTCAACTCTTGTCAGGTTTTGGAGTCTACAGAGACTTATGTTCGGCGAAATATTTGTTTAAGACAAATATATTTTTTTTTGTAAAACTGCACCCTGTCTCGGAGTGAGAACAGGGTCCGCGCGCGTGTTGCGTCGCGCCACCCGTGCACCAAGCGTGAAACACGTGCTCCCAGCTAGAAACACGTGCACCTAGCTAGAAACACGTGTTCAAGAATTCCTCCTTAGAGTTCACAAGCTGCAGAGATATTGTGGGAGAACTCTTTTGTGTTGGCATATAGATATGAGATTGTGGGGAAGGGGCTATTTGTTTCTATGAAACCTGACCATGCAGTATTTCTAATCTCGCAACCAAACCTTCCAACGCTGTCATAATGAATCATGACGTTATATTTAATTATCCTGCTTTATATGTGAGTGGAACGCTCAAGGTGAAGGTCGCTTTGAACAGTATTTTGATCCACCATGGCGGAGAAGGGAAGGCAAGCAGTGACGGAAATCTTGTTGGAATCTTTGCAAGTCAATCTCCACAAGACTAAGGGAGGCAACTCTCCATGCATAGTTGCAGTGTCTGACAATTACCGTCACTTTGTACTTTTTTATACAAGAAAATCCATATTTTCATATATATTTTATATTTGCATATGTACATACAAAATGACTGATAAAATATTGATTACGTCACATATTTCTGTTTTATTTTTTTTATCTGTCACAAATCTCACCCAAATGGACAAAATACGTCTCGCTTTCAGAGAAACAATACAACGCCAGCATTGATACTTAATTGATTTGTTTTGCCGGTCTTCCGTTTTAGCCAAATCCGTAGTCGTTTTACGTTTTCTCCCAAATCGATGATAAATTGATGATAAATCGATTATTAAGACATATTTTGTGACTGTTGTCGGCATGGTAACACGAAGTACGGACAGGGTGAAAAAAGTGACGTCACATTGAACATCATGACGTAAAGATGTCTGTACTTCTGCCATGACATTGAAGAATGCTTGATTCTGATTGGTTAAAAGGTTTTCTTTTAGCTACGGAAACCGCTTTCAAATGTATGAAGCCTTTTAACACACACACACAAACCGTGCGCATGAATACGTAGATAGCCAACATATTGATTCATAAAAAAATGGCTGCCGATCGATGACCCATAGGATCTATAAAAAGTATCGATATTTCCTCTATTACAAATTTGGTCTCTAATAGAAGCTAGCCAGGTCTCTATCCCACGCCGGGTCAACGAAATGAAAAGACGTCCTAGCGTCAAGTAGAGTAAATACGGTAGTTTGATATCGGATGTTTGGGCGACGATATGATGTTCTTTTAGGTCGTAAGCCTGACTGCTTCGATGATGAGATTACAAGACCTTTCGAAGGCATATTTTTAGCATGCAAATGAAATGTTTATGAAACAGAGTGGCTTGTCTGATGGCGAACAGATAGGATGTAACAGGCAATTTGGTCACTGCAACAACCGAAAATGAAAGTAAAATATAACATCATAAAAATGTGTTTGAAGAAACTGTATTCATGACATCATGTTGTTCACAAACCTTTTTTGGTCGATATTCGTTGCCATCTGCGTGAACCACCGCTGTCAGGATTTGTCAGGAGGGGGATTTGAAAGTCAATCAGAAAAAACTCCTCCCTCCGAAAGGCCACGAAAACAATGTCCTGTCATCACTGAAGTCACAGCTGAACAAACTTGATGAAGTTCATTTCAGAACACGCACAACTGAGAAAATCATACACGAACATCAGGTTGCCCATGAGGGACATGGAGTCTGTTTTTCAATATTTTAATATTTCACTTACTGTTATCGTAACCTTTTGCAAATTAACGCGATTTGTCACGTATAATGAAGATATTGAATCGCTGAAAAGTGAAGCGAAAATGCCCAAAACTAAAACGAAAATGTCAAAAACAAAAACAAAAACGAAATGGTCAAAAACTGAAATGAGAATGTCCAAAACTAAAACGAAAATGTCAAAAACAAAAGCGAAAATGTCAAAAACTAAAATGAAAATACAGAAAACGAGGCGGAAATATTATCACAGCTACTTGAAAGTACATTTTCCATGTTTTCGGTTGTTTTTATACATGATTTATCACATATTTGTACGACAAATTGTGTTAATTTGCAAAAGGTTACGATAAAAGTAAGTGAAATATCAAATATTGAAATATTGAATATGGACTCCATGTCCCTTATGGGCCATCGTACGAAATACTATTTCTCGGCCACAAATGTCTCATTGCTTTCACACGCTGGCTCTAAATCCGCGAAATATTGAAATTGACAGGTGAAATAGTCACTGGAAATTCCGTACATAAAGAATTATTGACATTGACGAATTTATCTTCACGACTTACAAAGACTAAGTTTCGGCGGAATGTATACGTGTGACAACAAGATCTATATTCATACCAAATTGTTTGATAAGCATTACTCAGAAATTGACGGAAGACAAAGTAGACACAATTTATGGATAACAAGTTCTTTAATGCTGTAAAGGCGACGTTTTGGTGTCGATCCTTATACCGTTGTCAAGCAAGACTGAATGAGGTCTTACTTACATTGGAGATTTTACGTGCGCTTTCCGACTGCAGCGTATTTCGCACACGGGCCCGGCCAGGCCATTTAATGTGTTTCCGAAAAGGGGGAAAAGTTGTTTGGCAATCCAGTAGGGGTGTTTTAGTGGTTGCTTATATAGAATTTTGGAAATTTTGAGATTTGGAAAAATGCCAAGAGGGTTTGGGGGCGAACTAAGGGACCTGAGTATGGAAGTTTGTTTGGTTTTGATAGTTTATTGGGGTTTTAAATGCGATTTATTAGTCCTGTTTTGATTAAGTAAACGCCTAAGGCTTTGAATTTTTCTATTTTATTTTGTGGATTTAGGATTGCTTCTAGGGTAAGAGCCTTATTTAGATTTAGGGTGGTTTGTAGTGTAGTTCGGTGTGTTAGGTAGTGGGTGCAATCTCATTAAAATCAGATCTTAGTTCTCGCGAGAACTAAGATCTGATTTAAATGAGATTGGTAGTGGGTGCAGTGTATGAGTGCGTGTTCTGGGGTTTCTTGTTGTTTGCAATGTGGGCAGGTTCCTGTTGCGCGTTTTCTTATTATTTTGAGGTGGTTATTTAGGTTGGTATGTCCTGTTTGGAGTTTAGTGATTACTCTGTCGATTTTTTTGGACGGATGTAGAATGTTTGGTTTGGTTAGGGGTTTTTTGAGAACCTTTTTGATTTGGCTATTTGAGTTTTGATATAGGTTATGCCATTTTTTGGTGATTTTTTGTTTGTTGACACTTTTAATTTCTGATTTGGAGATGGGTAGGTTTAAGCTTATTTCTGGTATTTTAAGGGATAGTTTAGCTGCTTTATCGGCGTTTTCATTGCCGTATATTCCTACGTGGGCGGGGATCCAAATGAATACTATTTGTTTGCCTGCCTTAGTTAAATCGTTTGAGCTTTTTAGTATTTGATTTATTAGTTCAGGGCGTTTTTTTGTGTTTTTATTTTGGAGGGCTTGTAGTCCACTGAACGAGTCGGAAAGTATTAGGATTTTTTGTTGTTTTTTAGATTGTTGATTATGAAGGGCTGAGCCCATGCCAATTAGCTCGGCCGTGAATACTGATTGATTGTTTGGGAGTCGGTAGGAAAGGCGACGTTTCGGTGTCGATCCTTATACCGTTGACTGAATGAGGAACATTGTACAGAATATATATAGTAGGTGGGGGATTCACAGTAGAGGATTAACAGTAACAACAATTGCATACATGGGTGGGATAACATGAGTAGGTAATGACAACAGAAGGATAATACTGTCACAGCATGATGGACAGAGAACACATATGTGGGAGCCAATGACACATGAAGCCAATAAAACAGGTTAAGTTTGCATTGGTGTGGTGACTATTGCTTGATGAGTTCATAGATGGCGGACGGGATGTAATAGCCTTGATCTCTGTTGACTGATGACCATGTCTTGAATCGAACCCGGGTCTTCGGCGTGAAGGGCGAATGCTTTAACCACAAGGCTACCCGGCCGCCACTTCAGTATTAGAGGAAATCAAGACAATCAATCATAACAAGACTAATTTACGATATCCATAGGGTGGCCCAGTCGACTTCGGCGCCCGATCCGCTGTGCAGAGTTGCGTCCCTTGGGAACGCCAGAATCCTATGATTGTGGGTTCGAATCCCGGTTCGCCCCGATTGTGTTTCACCGTGCTCGTGGGTTTCACCGAAGTGGTAAACGTCTGAGACCTGCATCACTTCGGGCTTTCCTCCAAAATAAACTGACACGTCGTGATATGACTGGAATACTGTTAAAAGCGACGTTAAACCCAAGCCACTCACCGCAATATCCATAATTATCAAGATTTAAATACAGGAGACAAAACTCTTTTCATCATCATAGTAATTGTACATTTCTTGTGATTATGGAAAGGGTTTCGCCGCTTGTAGTGAGTGAGTGAGCTTGGTTTTACGCCGCTTTTAGCAATATTCCAGCAATATCACGGCGGGGGACACCAGAAATGGGCTTCACACATTGTACCCATGTCGGGAATCGAACCCGGGTCTTCGGCGTGACAAGCGAACGCTTTAACCACCAGGTTACCCGACCGCCCTTCGTCGCTTGTAATTATTTCCATTTGTCCAAGTGCCAGTGACAGTGATAAATGCTACATTTCACCCTGTGTGAAGCTGTTCAGCATGAAATGACTTGCGCAGAACTGTATTGCTGAAGTGGAGCATTTTCAAAGCACATGGCATAAACATATATATATATATATATATATATATATATATATATATATATGGGGGGGGGGGGGGGGGTTGGTTGGTGGTTCAACGCCGCTCTCAGCAATAATCCAGCTATATGACGACGGTCTGTAAATAATCGACAATACAGTGACCCACGCAATTGGGATCGATGTCCTGCATCAACCAAGTCAGCGAGACTGACCAACCGATCCCGATCCCGTTAGTCGCCTCTTACGAAGGTGTGTGTATGTGGTGTGCACTTGATATATATATATATATATATATATATATATACAAGATGCTTATATCCATATATATCTAAACTTAAGGAGACAATTTACCATATAAGGAAGAGAATTTATCATGGATGTCAACTTCTTTATTATGAGGAACACAACGTTTCGGAGTATATGCTTACTCCTTCATCAGGTGAATCGATGCCATGAGGCAGAGGGCATATATATGTACATGTAAGGACAACAAAATTTATAAGATAACAAAAGGTGGAAAATAACAAAGGGTAGGAACTAACAAAGGAAGCCAACAGATGATTGGCGCTGATAGGTGATTAGCAATAGACAATGGAAACCAACACTTAAGTTATCATAGATAAGTAATGGACACTGGGCAAACCAACAAAAACCACACAATCCTTCCGACTCCCAAACAACCAATCAATATTCACGGCAGATCTAATGGGCATGGCCTCAGCCCTCCATAACCAAGAATCCAAAAAACACAAAAAAAAATCCTAATACTTACCGACTCCCTAAGTGGACTGCAAGCCCTCCAAAACAAAAATACCAAAAACCGACCTAAATTAATAAATCAAATACTTAAAAGCTCCAACGACCTAACTAAGGCAGGCAAACAAATAACCTTCTTGTGGATACCCGCCCACGTAGGGGAATATACGGTAATGAAAACGCCGATAAGGCAGCTAAACTATCCCTCAAAATCCCAGAAATAAGCTTTAACTTACCCATCTCAAAATCAGAAATTAAAAGCGTAAACAAGCAAAAAATCACCAAAAAATGGCATAACCTATATCTAAACTCAAATAGCCAATTTAAAAAAGTACTCAGCAAACCACTAACCAAACCAAAAGTTCTCCATCAATCAAAAAAAATCGATAGAGTAATCACTAAACTCCAAACAGGACACACCAACCTAAATAACCACCTAAAAAAAATTAAAAAACACACTACAGGTAACTGCCCACACTGCAAACAACCAGAAACCCCAGAACACGCACTCATCCACTGCACACACTACCTAACACATCGAACCGCATTACAAACCACCCTCAATCTAAACAAAGCTCTCACTCTAGAAGCAATACTAAACCCACAAAATAAACAAGAAAACTTCAAGGCCTTAGGCGTATTCTTAATAAAAACGGAACTAATAAAACGCATCTAAAAAGACAATAACCTACCAAATCAAAATCACATAAACAAACATCCACCATACCCAGCTCCCTTAGTTCTCCTCCCCAATCCCATCGGCATCTATTCCAAATCTCAAAATTCCCAAATTCTATATAAGCAACCCCTAAAGCCCCCTCTTGGGTTGCACACACCACTTTCGCCCCTTTCGGAAACACATTAAATGGCCTGGTCGAGCCCGTGTGCGAAATACGCATCAGTCGGAAAGCGCACGTTAAATCTCCAAAGTAAGTAAGTAAGTAAGTAAGTAAGCAAACATGTTATGGTTTTCGTTCTTCAGGATGTGTTCGGAAATAGTGGATATCAGGTCGAGTTTGTTAGCAGAGGTCCGATGTTCTTTGAGTCTTGTGTTGAGGGGTCTAAGGGTTTCTCCAATGTACTGGTGGCCACAGTTGCAGGGAATTTGGTATATACATCCTCGGGGGTTGGGACTTGCGCTGCTTGTGCCTCTGCCATTAGCTTGTAGATGGGTCTTGGTGGACTTGCCGCTAGAGAAGGTGACATCTATGCTGGCTTTGTTCTTGATGAGGTGGGAAATCTGATGAGTGACAGGGCCTTGGTAGGGTATGGTGATTCTGATGGGTGATGGAGCTGGTTTGGGCCTGGGGTCGGAGTTCTTGAGGGTCTTGCGGATGGTTTTGGAGACCCCTGTTAAGTGATATAACTGGAATACTGTTAAAAGCGGCGTTAAACCCAACTCACTCTGAATTAGCCATGAAATGCCCGGGCCATGTTTAAACAGTCAGTCGTATTGCCTGAGTCGTAAGGGAGATATTAGCAAAATAAGAACAGTACTCAATATGAGTTGATAGTGACATAAGATAAACAACAGGTCAACATGTTTCAACTATAGCTGAACAAGAACAGCAACATGCTATTAGAAATTTTCTTTTGAAAAACCGAATCCAAACGTTTCGCAGTGTTGTTTGATAGTCTTGGACAACAGCGGACTTCCACAGAAGAATACCTTCACGTGCCCCTTGTTTTGTGTGGCAATCTCTGCGAAAAGCTGAAAAACAATGCAAAATTACATGCAGATTATATTAACATTAAATGTCTCTCCCAATAAAAAGATTGAGTGAGTGAGTTGGGTTTAACGCCGCTTATTACAGTATTCCAGTTATATCGCGGCATGTCAGCTTAAAGTGGGAGGAAAGCCCGAAGTGATGCAGGTCTCAGACGTTTACCACTTCGGTGAAACCCACGAGCACGGGTATGGTGCTGACAAACCTAGAAACATAATTGGGGCGAATCGGGATTCGAACCCAATAAATAGAGAAAATAGTGCAAATCTGAATGGATTTAAGTTGAAAGTAACCGTATTTGATCGGTGTCCATGACAGAAAATGATTGAAACACCAGAAAAGAATGGGAACTTGATTTCCTGGACAGATTTGAAAAAACAAACAATTATCTGTTGTTGTTTATGCACAAAAATATGGCAGGCCTCGTCGTTAAAGGTGTTTCTGGATGGGACAGTTTCTAGAAGGCTGGCTGTACCTATGTAGGAGCGACAAGGGGGCAAATCGAGCTGACTTGTGTTTAATCTACTTGCTAAATGCCGTTTGGAAACAGTCCTGTCACCTTCAAATACTATTCTGGATGCAAGAACGGAGGCAGGCCTTTTCAGGACATATAACAGTGACAGCCTTCTGCATTTTGTGAGAACACTTACGTTAATTGCATTGTTTTGCCTTATTTAAAACCAAAACTGGTTGTTTAATCTAATGTATTGCTTTATTGGTCTCATGTGGTAATTTTCTGGTTTCTCAATCTAATTTTATGCCTATAGATTTCTGGGACAATCCCTGCTTTTCAATTTGGTGAGTGAGTAAGTATGGTTTTACGCCGCTTTTAGCAATATTCCAGCAATATCACGGCGGGGTACACCAGAAATGGGCTCACACATTGTACCCAAGTGCCATCGAACCCGGGTCTTCGGCGTGACGAGCGAACGCTTTCACCACAAGGCTACCCGACCGCCCGTAAATCAATGGAAGGGAATTGGCGACTTGAACGATATCAGATCATCGACATACCTGAAGCTCATGTTGATGAGTTTGGTTGCAGAAAAAACACGATTTTTTTATTTATGAAAGCAGGACCCTGTGTAGTGGGTACTATGTGGCAGGTGGGGATATACTGTCGTCAAAATATAAATGAGCGTACATATTTTGTTAAATATTTGAACTCCACTGGTTACAAACGTATGCAGGTAAGTCATATTGCATCTCACTACCTTTCTGAAGTCAGGCCTCCCTGGATGTGTGCGTGTTTTCAGCCCCGTCAACAGGTCTTTGTCTTGTTTCTTATGGATGAGGTCAAGGGCCATCTGTAAGCCGATTCCTTTCAGGTCCGTCTTGTTAAGTGCTGCAGTCATATACATGTGCATCTCGAGAAAGTTTCCCAGCCCGCCTTCCATAGTCTGTTCCATTTCCAACTGATTGAGGAGACTGCCGAACCACTCGAACGACTCCTGGTCACGGTTGATCCAGATGAAGTCGACCTGTCAGAAAAGAAAATATAAGTCAAAAGTCTTACGAAGTGAGAGGAAACTGTTTCTTTAAACCAGTGACTGAAATCATGAGCAGCGTCTGGTTCTTTAAGGTCAAGATGTTGACATCCAACTGATTAAAACTGATCTTCAGCAACCCATGCTTATCGTAAGAGGCGACTAACTGGATCGGGTGGTCAGGCCCGCTGACTTCGTGGATGGATGGTCCAGACTCGATTATTTACACACCGGCGTCATACAGCTGGAATATTGCTGAGGGCAGCGTTAAACAACAAACAAACAAAAACATCCAACAGAGACGCAGACCTTGACCGTGCGTTGGCTCCTTCGAGAAGCATGTGAGAGAAGAGTAAACCTATTCTGAAATGGATATTGTTTGTCAAAGACTTTCCCTAATTACCAAGCCCTCATGAATCCCTCGTTACTGCGGTGCTAACTACTATTACCAAGCTCCAACCACGCCATGCTGGTACTGACCTTCTTGAGGTTCATGACGTGTGGCGGTACTTCATCATACCAGGAGTGGCTACAGCTGGGGCAGCATCTCTTGTAGGCCTTGAACCTGTACATGATGCTCTGTAGGATGGAGGCGTAGGGAGTCACGCCGATACCGGAGCCAATCAGAACAGCGTGCTCGGTTTCAAATATTGCCCTTGAGCAAGTGCCATAAGGCCCATCCATGTAACACTGCAAGAGATGGACGTATAAGTGTGTAATGTTTTCTTCAGTGACCATTTTCCTTGTATTGTGTTGGTCGCCAGCTGTAGAGAGACCACTACTAATGTCCCTCGATCAACATACATAACTGGTCATACCGGTAAAGCTGGAGCCATAATTGCTATTTATCAATATTTAATAATTTGTTTCTATGGAATTGTTTTTATCCATGAATATCGGGCATATTTACGCGTAACCCATCTCATACAACGACACCCAGTGTCTCCTCGGCTATATATCTTCGTATACCAAACTCGCATGTCTGCAAGTTGGGCACTCCTGTGTGTGTCTCTAAGCACGCTTGTATATGTCTCAAAGCACGACTGTGTGTGTCCCTAGCACGTCTCTATGTGTGCACGAATGTATGTGTCTCTAAATTCGCCTGTATGTGTCTCTAAGCACGCTTGTATGTATTTCTAAGCACGCTTCTATGTGTCTCTAAGCACAACTGTATGTGTCTCTAAACACGCTTGTATGTCTCTAAGCACAACTGCATGTGTCCCTAGCACGTCTCTATGTGTCTCTATGCACGAGTGTATGTGTTGCTGAACTTGCCTGTATGTGTCTCTAAGCACGCTTGTATGTGTCTCTAAGCACAACTCTATGTGCCTATAAGCATGCGTGTGTATGTCTCTAAGCACCCCCGTCTGTGTCTCTAAGCACGCCTGTCTGTGTCTCTAAGCACGCTTGCATGTGCCTCTAAGCACGCTTGCATGTGTCACTAAGCACGCCTGTCTGTGTTTCTAAGCACGCCTGTCTGTGTCTCTAAACACGCCTGTCTGTATCTCTAAACACGCCTGTATGTGCTTCTAAACACGCCTGTATATGTCTCTAAGCACGCCTGTATGACATTGTGTCTCTAAAAACTCTTGAATGTGCCTCTAAACACGCATGCATGTGTCACTAAGCTCGCCTGTACTTTAGTCTCTAAGCACGCCTATGTGTGTCTCAAAGTACCCCTGTTTATGTCTCTAAGCACGCCTGTGTGTCTAAAAGCACGTCTGTATGTGCCTCTAAACTCGCATGCATCTGTCTCTAAGCACGTCTGTATCTGTCTCTAAGCACGCCTGTATGACATTGTGTTTCTAAGCACTCCTGAATGCGCCTCTAAGCACGCCTGTATGTGTCTCTAAGAGCACCCATGTCTGTGTCTCTAAGCACGCTTGTATATGCCTCTAAGCACAACTGTATGTGTCCCTAGCACGACTGTATGTGTCCCTAGCACGTCTCTATGTGTCACTGAGCACGAGTGTATGTGTCGTAAGTACGTCTCTATCTGTCTCTAAGCACGCTATATGTGGCTTTAAGCACGTCTCTATGTATCTCTGAGCACGAGTGTATATGTCGCTAAACTCGCCTGTTTGTGTCTCTAAGCACGCCTGTCTGTGTCTATAAGCACGCCTCTATGTGCCTCTAAGCATGCATGCATGTGCCTCTAAGCACGCCTGTCTGTGTCTCTAAGCACGCCTGTCTGTGTCTCTAAGCACGCCTCTATGTGCCTCTAAGCACGCCTGTCTGTGTCTCTAAGCACGTCTGTCTGTGTCTCTAAGCACGCCTCTATGTGCCTCTAAGCACGCCTGCATGTGTAACTAAGCATGCATGCATGTGCCTCTAAGCACGCCTATGTGTGTCTCTAAGTACCCCTGTTTATGTCTCTAAGCACGCCTGCATGTGTTTCTTAGCACGCATGTATTTGTCTCGAAGCACGACTGTATTTGCCTCTAAGCACGCCTGTCTGTGTCCCTAAGCACGCCTGTATGTCTATAAGCACATCTGTATGTGCCTCTAAACACACATGCATCTGTCCCTAAGCACGCCTGTATGACATTGTGACTCTGAGCACTCCTGAATGTGCTTCTAAGCACGCCTGCTTGTGTCACTGAGCTCGCCTGAATGTATCTTTAAGCACGCCTGTATGTGTCTCTAAGAGCAGCCATTTCTGTGTCTCTAAGCACGCTTGTATATGTCTCTAACCACGCCTGTGTGTGTCTCTAAGAGCACCCCTGTTTGTGTCTCTAAGCACGCTTGTATATGCCTCTAAGAACAACTGTATGTGTCCCTAGCACGACAGTATGTGTCCCTAGCACGTCTCTAAAGTTCGCCTGTATTTGTGTCTCTTAGCACGCCTGTCTGTTTCTCTAAGCACGCCTGTCTGTGTCTCTAAACACGCCTGTCTGTATCTCTAAACACGCCTGTTTGTGTCTCTAAACACGCCTGTATATGTTTCTAAGCACGCCTGTATGACATTGTGTTTCTAAAAGCTCTTGAATGTGCCTCTAAACACGCATGCATGTGTCACTAAGCTCGCCTGTATTTAGTCTCTAATCACGCCTATGTGTGTCTCTAACAGCACCCCTGTTTGTGTCTCTAAGCACGCTTGTATATGCCTCTAAGCACAACTGTATGTGTCCCTAGCACGACTGTATGTGTCCCTAGCACGTCTCTATGTGTCTCTGAGCACGAGTGTATGTGTCATAAGTACGTCTGTATCTGTCTCTAAGCACGCTATATGTGGCTTTAAGCACGTCTCTATGTATCTCTGAGCACGAGTGTATATGTCGCTAAACTCGCCTGTTTGTGTCTCTAAGCACAACTCTATGTGTCTATAAGCATGCATGCATGTGCCTCTAAGCACGCCAGTATGTGTCTCTAAGCACCCCCGTCTGTGTCTCTAAGCACGCCTGTCTGTGTCTCTAAGCACGCCTCTATGTACCTCTAAGCACGCCTGCATGTGTCACTAAGCTCGCCTGTATTTGTGTCTCTAAGCTCGCCTGTCTTTGTCTCTAAGCACGCCAGTATTTGTGTCTCTAAACACGCCGTATTTGTGTCTCTAAGCTCGCCTGTCGGTGTCTCTAAGCACGCCTGTCTGTGTCTCTAAACACGCCTTTCTATATCTCTAAACACGCCTGTCTGTATCTCTAAACACGCCTGTCGGTGTCTCTAAACACGCATGTCTGTGTCTCTAAACACGCCTGTATATGTCTCTTAGCACGCCTGTATGACATTGTGTCTCTAAAAGCTCTTGAATGTGCCTCTAAACACGCATGCATGTGTCACTAAGCTCGCCTGTATTTAGTCTCTTAGTACGCCTATGTGTGTCTCTAAGTACCTCTGTTTATGTCTCTAAGCACGCCTGCATGTGTTTCTTAGCACGCATGTATTTGTCTCGAAGCACGCCTGTATTTGCCTCGAAGCACGCCTGTATGTGTCCCTAAGCACGCCTGTATGTCTATAAGCACGTATGTATGTGCCTCTAAACACACATGCATCTGTCTCTAAGCACGCTTGTATTTGTCCCTAAGCACGCCTGTATGACATTGTGTCTCTGAGCACTCCTGAATGTGCCTCTAAGCACGCCTGCATGTGTCACTGTGCTCGCCTGAATGTATCTTTAAGCACGCCTGTATGTGTCTCTAAGAGCAGCCATTTCTGTGTCTCTAAGCACGCTTGTATATGTCTCTAAGCACCCCTGTTTGTGTCTCTAAGCACGCTTGTATATGTCTCTAGGCACAACTGTATGTGTCCCTAGCACGACAGTATGTGTCCCTAGCACGTCTCTAAAGTTCGCCTGTATTTGTGTCTCTTAGCACGCCTGTCTGTTTCTCTAAGCACGCCTGTCTGTGTCTCTAAACACGCCTGTCTGTATCTCTAAACACGCCTGTTTGTGTCTCTAAACACGCCTGTATATGTCTCTAAGCACGCCTGTATGACATTGTGTCTCTAAAAACTCTTGAATGTGCCTCTAAGCACGCATGCATGTGTCACTAAGCTCGCCTGTATTTAGTCTCTAAGCACGCCTATGTGTGTCTCTAACAGCACCCCTGTTTGTGTCTCTAAGCACGCTTGTATATGCCTCTAAGCACAACTGTATGTGTCCCTAGCACGACTGTATGTGTCCCTAGCACGTCTCTATGTGTCTCTGAGCACGAGTGTATGTGTCATAAGTACGTCTGTATCTGTCTCTGAGCACGTCACTATGTATCTCCGAGCACGAGTGTATATGTCGCTAAACTCGCCTGTTTGTGTCTCTAAGCACAACTCTATGTGTCTATAAGCATGCATGTAAGTGCCTCTAAGCACGCCTGTCTGTGTCTCTAAGCACGCCTCTATGTGCCTCTAAACACGCCTGTCTGTATCTCTAAGCACGCCTGTCTGTGTCTCTAAACACGCATGTCTGTATCTCTAAACACGCCTGTCTGTGTCTCTAAACACGCCTGTATATGTCTCTAAGCACGCCTGTATGACATTGTGTCTCTAAGCATTCTTGAATGTGACTCTAAGCATGCATGCATGTGTCACTAAGCTCGCCTGTATTTAGTCTCTAAGCACGCCTATGTGTGTCTCTAAGTACCCCTGTTTATGTCTCTAAGCACGCCTGCATGTGTTTCTTAGCACGCATGTATTTGTCTCGAAGCAAGCCTCTATTTGCCTCTAAGCACGCCTGTATGTCTAAAAGCACGTCTGTATCTGTCTCTAAGCACGCCTGTATGACATTGTGTTTCTAAGCACTCCTGAATGTGTCACTTAGCTCGCCTGAATGTGTATCTATGCACGCCTGTATGTGTCTCTAAGAGCACCCCTGTTTGTGTCTCTAAGCACGCTTGTATATGCCTCTAAGCACAACTGTATGTGTCCCTAGCACGAATGTATGTGTCCCTAGCACGTCTCTATGTGTCTCTGAGCACGAGTGTATGTGTCATAAATGCGTCTGTATCTGTCCCTAAGCACGCTGTATGTGGCTCTAAGCACGTCTCTATTCGTCTCTGAACACGAGTGTATATGTCGCTAAACTCGTCTGTTTGTGTCTCTAAGCACAACTCTATGTGTCTCTAAGCACGCCAGTATGTGTCTCAAAGCACGCCTGTCTGTGTCTCTAAGCACGCCTCTATGTGCCCCTAAGCACGCTTCCATGTGTCACTAAGCTCGCCTGTATTTGTGTCTCTAAACACGCCTGTATTTGTGTCTCTAAGCACGCCTGTCTGTGTCTCTAAGCGCGCCTGCATGTGTCACTAAGCTCGCCTGTATTTGTGTCTCTAAACACGCCTGTATTTGTGTCTCTAAGCACGCCTGTCTGTGTCTCTAAGCACCCCTGTCTGTGTCTCTTAGAATGGCTGTCTGTGTCTCTAAGCACGCCTGTATTTGTATCTAAGCACCCCTGTCTGTGTCTTTAAACTCGCCTGTCTGTGTCTCTAAACACACCTGTTTATGCCTCTTACACGCCTGTATATGTCTCTAATCACGCCTATGTGTGTCTCTAAGCACGCCTGTCTGTGTTTCTTAGCACACCTGTCTGTGTCTCTAAACACGCCTGTATGTGCCTCTAAGCACGCCTCCATGTGTCACTAAGCTCCCCTGTCTGTGTCTCTAAACACGCCTGTATGTGTATCTAAGCACGCCTGTCTGTGTCTCTAAGCACCCCTGTCTGTGTCTCTAAGCACCCCTGTCTGTGTCTCTAAACACGCCTGTATGTGTATCTAAGCACGCCTGTCTGTGTCTCTAAGCACCCCTGTCTGTGTCTCTTAGCAATGCTGTCTATGTCTCTAAGCACGCCTGTATGTGTATCTAAGCACCCCTGTCTGTGTCTCTAAACACGCCTGTCTGTGTCTCTAACCACGCCTGTTTATGCCTCTTACACGCCTGTATATGTCTCTAAGCACGCCTATGTGTGTCTCTAAGCACGCCTGTCTGTGTCTCTAAACACGCCTGTCTGTGTCTCTAAACACGCCTGTATATGCCCCTTAACACGCCTGTATATGTCTCTAAGCACCCCTGCCCGCCTCCGTGGTCTTGTGGTAGAGCGTCCGCCCGGAGAGCGGAAGGTCCAGGGTTCGATCCCGGGCCGCGTCATACAAAAAGACGTTAAAAGATTGTACTTGTTGTTACCCTGTCTGGCGCTCGGCATTAAGGGGCTAAAACAAGGACTGGTCGACTCGGAGTCAGTATACTGTTTCTGAGTGGGGTATTCATGTTAAACTGCGGCATGGTATCTCAGTGAGCTAGCACTATAAATCGGCATCAGTCCGGACTAGTACAAGCAGCCACACACACACATACACGTGCATGCACGTCGCTATATAAGTGCAATAATCTTGGACGCGACGTTAAACCCAATTTCACCTCACCTCACCTCTAAGCACCCCTGTCTGTGTTTCTAAGCACACCTGTCTGTGTGTCTAAACACGCCTGTATGTGCCTTTAAGCACGCCTGCATGTGTCTCTAAGCTCCCCTGTCTGTGTCTCTAAGCACGCCTGTCTGTGTCTCTAAGCACCCCTGTCTGTGTCTCTTAGCACGCCTGTATATGTATCTAAGCACCCCTGTCTGTGTCTCTAAACACGCCTGTATGTGTATCTAAGCACGCCTGTCTGTGTCTCTAAGCACCCCTGTCTGTGTCTCTAAGCACCCCTGTCTGTGTCTCTAAACACGCCTGTATGTGTATCTAAGCACGCCTGTCTGTGTCTCTAAACACGCCTGTATGTGTATCTAAGCACGCCTGTCTGTGTCTCTAAACACGCCTGTATGTGTATCTAAGCACGCCTGTCTGTGTCTCTAAGCCCCCCTGTCTGTGTCTCTTAGCATGGCTGTCTGTGTCTCTAAGCACGCCTGTATGTGTCTCTAAACACGCCGTGTGTGTCTCTAAGCCCCCCTGTCTGTGTCTCTTAGCATGGCTGTCTGTGTCTCTAAGCACGCCTGTATGTGTATCTAAGCACCCCTGTCTGTGTCTCTAAACACGCCGTGTGTGTATTTTTGCATATGTGCATCTGTGCTCACGTGCCTACCTACCTGCACCTGCACTTTCTTATGTACTTTCGGAGGCAGAAGGTATGACGCACTCCTTGACTGGAAACAGAAGAGAAAGTAAACGCTGAATGTGGCCAATTCAACTAATCTAAAACGCCAGTTAGAAAGCACATGTATATCCCTGATGGGTTTTTAGACGGTTTGTTCCTATTTCGAAATATTGAATTCTGAGTCCTCCACTGAAGGTTGTACACCCACCTTCATCAGTTTTCTAGGATTCCCTTCTGTAACTGTGGGGGGACTTTTTCCACACGTAGGTTTCATGTCGACAATAGTTGATTTGTAACTCTGTAACCTGACTTGGCTTCCAGCAAACCCTGCAACATTGGGCGGCGGAATGACATCGCAATATACCAAAGCTGAGTATATATGTTACAACAGAATGGGCTACTGAACATTCTTACATGATACAGATACAGAAGCGAAACACATACATGTTATAAAGGGATCATATTACAAGATAAACAAGCAAAACATATACATGTTATAAAGGGATAACAATACAAGATACAGAAGCGAAACACATACATGTTATAATGGGATCATATTACAAAATACAGAAGCGAAACACATACATGTTATAATGGGATCATATTACAAGATACAGAAGCGAAACACATACATGTTATAAAGGGATCATATTACAAGATACAGAAGCGAAACACATACATGTTATAAAGGGATCATATTACAAGATACAGAAGCGAAACACATACATGTTATAAAGGGATAACAATACAAGATACAGAAGCGAAACACATACATGTTATAATGGGATCATATTACAAGATACAGAAGCGAAACACATACATGTTATAATGGGATCATATTACAAGATACAGAAGCGAAACACATACATGTTATAAAGGGATCATATTACAAGATACAGAAGCGAAACACATACATGTTATAAAGGGATCATATTACAAGATACAGAAGCGAAACACATACATGTTATCAAGGGATAACAATACAAGATACAGAAGCGAAACACATACATGTTATAATGGGATCATATTACAAGATACAGAAGCGAAACACATACATGTTATAATGGGATCATATTACAAGATACAGAAGCGAAACACATACATGTTATGAAGGGATCATATTACAAGATACAGAAGCGAAACACATACATGTTATAAAGGGATCATATTACAAGATACAGAAGCGAAACACATACATGTTATAATGGGATCATATTACAAGATACAGAAGCGAAACACATACATGTTATAAAGGGATCATATTACAAGATACAGAAGCGAAACACATACATGTTATAAAGGGATCATATTACAAGATACAGAAGCGAAACACATACATGTTATAAAGGGATCATATTACAAGATACAGAAGCGAAACACATACATGTTATAAAGGGATCATATTACAAGATACAGAAGCGAAACACATACATGTTATAATGGGATCACAATACAAGATACAGAAGCGAAACACATACATGTTATAATGGGATCACAATACAAGATACAGAAGCGAAACACATACATGTTATAAAGGGATCATATTACAAGATACAGAAGCGAAACACATACATGTTATAAAGGGATCATATTACAAGATACAGAAGCGAAACACATACATGTTATAATGAGATCACAATACAAGATACAGAAGCGAAACACATACATGTTATAAAGGGATCATATTACAAGATACAGAAGCGAAACACATACATGTTATAATGGGATAGCAATACAAGATACAGAAGCGAAACACATACATGTTATAAAGGGATCACAATACAAGATACAGAAGCGAAACACATACATGTTATAATGGGATAGCAATACAAGATACAGAAGCGAAACACATACATGTTATAATTGGATAACAATACAAGATACAGAAGCGAAACACATAAATGTTATAATGGGATCACAATACAAGATACAGAAGCGAAACACATACATGTTATAATGGGATCACAATACAAGATATACCATCAAAACACATACATGTTATAATGGGATCACAATACAAGATACAGAAGAGAAACACATACATGTTATAATGGGATCACAATACAAGATACAGAAGCGAAACACATACATGTTATAATGGGATCACAATACAAGATACAGAAGCGAAACACATACATGTTATAATGGGATAGCAATACAAGATACAGAAGCGAAACACATACATGTTATAAAGGGATCACAATACAAGATACAGAAGCGAAACACATACATGTTATAATGGGATCACAATACAAGATACAGAAGCGAAACACATACATGTTATAAAGGGATCACAATACAAGATACAGAAGCGAAACACATACATGTTATAATGGGATCACAATACAAGATACAGAAGCGAAACAAATACATGTTATAATGGGATCACAATACAAGATACAGAAGCGAAACACATACATGTTATAATGGGATCACAATATAAGATACAGAAGCGAAACACATACATGTTATAAAGGGATCATATTACAAGATACAGAAGCGAAACACATACATGTTATAATGGGATCACAATACAAGATACAGAAGCGAAACACATACATGTTATAAAGGGATAACAATACAAGATACAGAAGCGAAACACATAAATGTTATAATGGGATCACAATACAAGATACAGAAGCGAAACACATACATGTTATAATGGGATCACAATACAAGATACAGAAGCGAAACACATACATGTTATAACAAGATACAGGAGCGAAACACATACATGTTATAATTGGATAGCAATACAAGATACAGAAGCGAAACACATACATGTTATAATTGGATAACAATACAAGATACAGAAGCGAAACACATAAATGTTATAATGGGATCACAATACAAGATACAGAAGCGAAACACATACATGTTATAATGGGATCACAATACAAGATACAGAAGCGAAACACATACATGTTATAATGGGATAGCAATACAAGATACAGAAGCGAAACACATACATGTTATAATTGGATAACAATACAAGATACAGAAGCGAAACACATAAATGTTATAATGGGATCACAATACAAGATACAGAAGCGAAACACATACATGTTATAATGGGATCACAATACAAGATACAGAAGCAAAACATATACATGTTATAATGGGATCACAATACAAGATACAGAAGCGAAACACATACATGTTATAATGGGATCACAATACAAGATACAGAAGCGAAACACATACATGTTATAATGGGATCACAATACAAGATACAGAAGCGAAACACATACATGTTATAAAGGGATCACAATACAAGATACAGAAGCGAAACACATACATGTTATAATGAGATCACAATACAAGATACAGAAGCGAAACACATACATGTTATAATGGGATCACAATACAAGATACAGAAGCGAAACACATACATGTTATAAAGGGATCATATTACAAGATACAGAAGCGAAACACATACATGTTATAATGGGATAGCAATACAAGATACAGAAGCGAAACACATACATGTTATAAAGGGATCACAATACAAGATACAGAAGCGAAACACATACATGTTATAATGGGATAGCAATACAAGATACAGAAGCGAAACACATACATGTTATAATTGGATAACAATACAAGATACAGAAGCGAAACACATAAATGTTATAATGGGATCACAATACAAGATACAGAAGCGAAACACATACATGTTATAATGGGATCACAATACAAGATACAGAAGCAAAACATATACATGTTATAATGGGATCACAATACAAGATACAGAAGCGAAACACATACATGTTATAAAGGGATCACAATACAAGATACAGAAGCGAAACACATACATGTTATAAAGGGATCATATTACAAGATACAGAAGCGAAACACATACATGTTATAATGGGATCACAATACAAGATACAGAAGCGAAACACATACATGTTATAAAAGGATCATATTACAAGATAAAGAAGCGAAACACATACATGTTATAATCGGATCACAATACAAGATACAGAAGCGAAACACATACATGTTATAATGGGATAGCAATACAAGATACAGAAGCGAAACACATACATGTTATAATTGGATAACAATACAAGATACAGAAGCGAAACACATAAATGTTATAATGGGATCACAATACAAGATACAGAAGCGAAACACATACATGTTATAATGGGATCACAATACAAGATACAGAAGCGAAACACATACATGTTATAACAAGATACAGAAGCGAAACACATACATGTTATAATTGGATAACAATACAAGATACAGAAGCGAAACACATAAATGTTATAATGGGATCACAATACAAGATACAGAAGCAAAACATATACATGTTATAATGGGATCACAATACAAGATACAGAAGCGAAACACATACATGTTATAAAGGGATCACAATACAAGATACAGAAGCGAAACACATACATGTTATAATGGGATCACAATACAAGATACAGAAGCGAAACACATACATGTTATAAAGGGATCACAATACAAGATACAGAAGCGAAACACATACATGTTATAATGAGATCACAATACAAGATACAGAAGCGAAACACATACATGTTATAATGGGATCACAATACAAGATACAGAAGCGAAACACATACATGTTATAATGGGATCACAATACAAGATACAGAAGCGAAACACATACATGTTATAATGGGATCACAATACAAGATACAGAAGCGAAACACATACATGTTATAATGGGATCACAATACAAGATAAACAAGCAAAACATATTCATGTTATAATGGGATCACAATACAAGATAAACAAGCAAAACATATACATGTTATAAAGGGATCACAATACAAGATATACCAGCAAAACACATGCATGTTATGATGGGATCACAATACAAGATACAGAAGCAAAACATATACATGTTATGATGGGATCACAATACAAGATATACAAGTTATTCACATACATATTATAGTTTGATGTGGAATGTGGTATTTTATGACTGATTTACAGAAAACGCCAGGTACAAAACCTGTTAAAGTGAGTGCATTGTAACCCTGGAATCTGCCTGACAAATCTTTAATATACCCTACTTACACACAATGGCTGACACCTCAGTGTAAACGAGATACGCCACAACTCCGCGATGTGAAAGGGTGCACATACCGTTGTTTACATATCCTTTGAGGTGACTCTGATCGCCCATATTTCTGTCAAGGGTGTCGAAATAATCATGTAGCCTGTTTGTCCAATGTCCGGCTGACCGCACGTGAAGCCATAACTTATCTGAATACAAACGGAACATTGTTACTGGTGAGTGAGTCTGATTTTACGCCCCTTTTAGCAATATTCCAGCAATATCACGGCTGGGGACACCAGAAATGGGCTTCACACATTGTACCCATGTCGGGAATCGAACCCGGTCTTCGGCGTGACGAGTGAACGCTTTAACCACCAGGCCACCCGACCGCTCCCCATTGTTACTAAATAGGAGATACGGGCAACACACAAACATATTTTCATAAATGCGATTTTTATTGATTCTTGATGTTCGTCACTCAGTTACTCCCGCAAATCTGAAAATACATGACGTGTATCGACATTGTAGAAGAAACCAAGGCACGTTCTTTCCACGTGTCCACAAACAGGCGTCCACCTGTTTGTTTGTTTGTTTGTTTGTGTTTGTTTGCTTGTGTGCTTGCTTGCCTGTTTGTTTGTTTGTTTGCGTGTTTGTTTGTTTGTTTGTTTGTTTGTTTGTTTGTTTGTTTGTTTGTTTGTTTGTGTTCTTGCTTGTTTGTTTGTTTGTTTCTCATGAATATTCTAGCTTTTTGACGGCGGTCTGTAAAGAATTGTGTCATTGGACAATCCAGTATTGGTATCATGATCTACGATCAACGTCAATGATGACATGCTTCAACTACCTGATTGTGCACCGATCGGCTTTGTTGCCGGGTATCTTTAGTCTTACCCTGTAGAGAAACATCTGTAGCGGAGTTGTTTATGTGACATCGGATATGATACTAAACATATACCATTCAATGGCAGTGAAAGGTCAAACAGGTTTATGTGGTATGTTATAATAGTTTTGTATGCTGACATACGTAAAGGGTACGCGTTCATGACCACAATTTGGATCATCATAGCATGTTAGCGATATGCAGATTGTCCGCCAGGGGAAAGGTGAGCGATTTCAATTTCTCGTCACACTGAATAGTATTTCAGTTATTTCATGGAGTGTGAGCTGCACAACTCATATCTAAGATGTTTACCATTTGTGAAACCCATGTGAGCATGGGCGTTGTGCTTCCCCATGAACTGCCACAACTGAGGATTCGTACCCACGAAGAGCAGACTCTGTAGCACAACAAGATGTCGCACAGCGCACCATAGGAAGACCATCCTCGTTGTTCGGAGGAACTGATTCATGGTGAGACCTCCCTTCAAGTTCGGGGGCGCTTTATGGACCAATCAACCTTCAACTTCGGGGGCGCTTTATGGAGAGACCTCCCTTCCAGTTCGAGGGTGCTTTATGGACAGATCTACCTTCAACTTCCGGGGCGCTTTATGGACAGACTTACCTTCCAGTTCGGGGGTGCTTTATGGACAGATCTACCTTCAACTTCGGGGACGCTTTATGGACAGACTTACCTTTCAGTTCGGGGGCGCTTTATGGACAGATCTACCTTCAACTTCCGGGGCGCTTTATGGACAGACAGACCTTCAACTTCGGGGGCGCTTGATGGACAGATCCACCTTCAACTTCCGGGGCGCTTTATTGACAGACCCACCTTCCTATTCGGGGACGCTTTATGGACAGACCTCCCTTCCAGTTCGGGGGCGCTTTATGGACAGATCTACCTTCAACTTCGGGGGCGCTTTATGGACAGACCTACCTTCCAGTTCGGGAGCGTTTTATGGACAGATCTACCTTTCTGTTCAGGGGCGCTTTATGGAGAGACCTCCCTTCCAGTTCGGAGGCGCTTTATGGACAGATCCACCTTCAACTTCCGGGGCGCTTTATTGACAGACCCACCTTCTTGTTCGGGGGCGCTTTATGGACAGACCTACCTTCCAGTTCAGGGGCGCTTAATGGTGAGACCTACCTTCCAGTTCGGGGGCGCTGTATGGACAAATCTACCTTCAACTTCCGGGGCGCTTTATGGACAGACCTACCTTCCAGTTCGGGGACGCTTAATGGTGAGACCTACCTTCCAGTTCAGGGGCTCTTTATTGACAGACCTACCTTCCAGTTCAGGGACGCTTTATGGTGAGACCTATCTTCAAGTTCAGGGACGCTTTATGGACAGACCTACCTTCCAGTTAAGGGACGCTTTATGGTGAGACCTACCTTCCAGTTCGGGTGCGCTTTATGGTGAGACCTCCCTTCTAGTTCGGGGACGCTTTATGGTGATACCTACCTTCAAGTTCAGGGACGCTTTATGGTGAGACCTCCCTTCCAGTTCGGGGGCGCTTTATGGACAGACCTCCCTTCCAGTTCAGGGGCGCTTGATGGACAGATCCACCTTCAACTTCCGGGGCGCTTTATTGACAGACCTACCTTCCAGTTCAGGGGCGCTTTATGGAGAGACCTCCCTTCCAGTTCGGGGGCGCTTAATGGTGAGACCTACCTTCCAGTTCAGGGGCTCTTTATTGACAGACCTACTTTCCAGTTCGGGGGCGCTGTATGGACAAATCTACCTTCAACTTCGGGGGCGCTTTATGGACAGACCTCCCTTCCAGTTCGGGGGCGCTTTATGGACAGATCTACCTTCAACTTCCGGGGCGCTTTATGGACAGACCTACCTTCGAGTTCGGGGGCGTTTTATGGACAGATCTACCTTCAAGTTCAGGGACGCTTTATGGTGAGACCTACCTTCCAGTTCAGGGACGCTTTATGGTGAGACCTACCTTCAAGTTCGGGGACTCTTTATTGACAGACCTACCTTCCAGTTCAGGGACGCTTTATGGTGAGACCTATCTTCAAGTTCAGGGACGCTTATGGTGAGACCTACATTCCAGATCAGGGACGCTTATGGTGAGACCTACATTCCAGTTCAGGGAAGCTTTATGGTGAGACCTACCTTCCAGTTCAGGGACGCCTTTTGGTGAGACCCACCTTCCAGTTCAGGGACGCTTTATGGTGAGACCTACCTTCTAGTTCGGGGGCGCTGCTGATAGTGAAAGGATGCCACTCATGTTTAGCGATGTCTGGGATCTGTAGGAAGATGTAGTCCCCGGGTCGGAATTTCATTTTGGGAGGCTTCGGGATCACAAGATGAGTCACCTACGGAAAGCAAAGCATGATTTGTATATGGTCTTCAATCTGGACCTACTGAGCATGGATACATGTTCCTACCGTATATGACGCTCTGGCACTCGGCATTTAGGGGCTAAAACAAGGACTGGTCGGCTCGGAGTCAGTAGACTGTGTCTGAGTGGGGTATTTATGTTAAACTGCGGCATGGTATCTCAGTGAGCTAGCACTATAAATCGGCATCAGTCCGGACTAGTACAGGCAGCCACACAAACACACACACGTACATGCACGTCGCTATATAAGTGCAATAATCTTGGACGCGACGTTTAATCCCATTTCACCTCACCTCCTACCGTATATAACTGTTCCACAGTGCGACCGTAGTGTTAAGACAGTCGTAACTCCCATACTTTATCACATGCTTACGATGTGTTACCCTGCTACGTACGGGGTCGATATATTTGTTAACGAGAGAGATTAACTGCGGTAATTATTTCTTCAAATAAACGCGATATTTTATAAGCAACTCTGGATTGCTTATACAGCCTACCTTAGACGGCAGAAGGTTGATTTCCGTTATAAAGGTATTGCCGTATCTCATGCGTTTGATCAATTTTGAACGAAAGAGTTTCTCAAGAAAAAACATGGCGCCCGGGACAAGGAACCACTTCCAGAAATGGCGTCCGTGAAGAATCAGCAAGATCCAGAAGATCACGTACAGCATGTGAGTCCAGTAGAAAACCTGAACAGAGAGTAAGTGAGTGAGTGAGTGAGTGGGTGGGTTTGGAATTCACGTACACAATGTGCGGTAAAACACTCATTTCGACGACGATAAACACGTTGTCTTCCATCTCACCGGTGAAGAAGAAATCGTGATTCATCGCAAAACCAGACTCGTCTCCAGTTTCTCACATTCCAAGGCTGTAAGGTATGGCACCAACACAAGCGTCGCTGTCGATGGATCTGATAACTGGTCTTCTGGGTCGGATTCCAGCCTCGCGAAGATGGTTCCTGACAGTCTGGTCCGATATCCTCCTCAAACCAGGGATGCGTCCTGCAGTCTCCGTGGCTGTGGCATTGCGATGACGTAGGTGGAACAGTCGCATGTAGCGATCCTGTGCAGGGGTGGTAACTCTTGGTCGGCCGGTTCCCGGACGGTCTGCAGTGAAATTGAACTGTGTGTATCGGTCCCAAAGGCGGCAAATGGTGCTGTGGTGGACGTTGAAGTGGCGTGCAACGGAAGACTGCGATTCCCTTCTTTGGATACGTCCTATGGCGATGTTCAGATCGGCAGCATTTTCGAACTTGAAAAATGTTGACAATTGAATGACAAATTATTGGCTTATGCTTGCCTTTTAATAGCCACTACCACGAGTTACGAATGCCACAATTCGCATGTGCATTTTGCTTTACTGTTTTCCCCCATGACATTTTTGAACAAGTGTGAAAACAATGCCGTTTTAGACATTGCCAATCGACAATGGCTGCGTTTTGACGCACCGTTAGTCGAATATCAGGCCACCAACATTTTCCAATAACATATATCCAATTTATATACCGGATTTTTTGTGAAGTAAGGTTCATACTACATAGTACATGTGCGTTTCTTTTTTTGAAGAGTATTAAGATTATTAATATTTATATACAATAGCCATGCTGCATTTTAGCTACCTGAAAATGGCCGCTCTTCCTGACGAAGGGCATGGAGCAGATGAACATGATGACGAAGACGACGACGAGCAGAACACCAGAGAGAGGAGCGAAGCCGGCCACCCAGCCAATGTCCGCTTCTGTGGTGAAGATGAAGACAGGCACTGTCAGGTTGAACTGACTCTCGGCTACTATGACTGCAACAAACATAAAGACAGACACTGTCAGGTTGTACTGACTCTCGGCTACCATGACTGCAACAAACATAAAGACAGACACTGTCAATTTGAACTGACTCTCGGCTACTATGACTGCAACAAACATAAAGACAGACACTGTCAGGTTGTACTGACTCTCGGCTACCAGGACTGCAACAAACATAAAGACAGACACTGTCAATTTGAACTGACTCTCGGCTACCATGACTGCAACAAACATAAAGACAAGCACTGTCAGGTTGTACTGACTCTCGGCTACCATGACTGCAACAAACATAAAGACAGACACTGTCAGGTTGAACTGACTCTCGGCTACCATGACTGGACGGAGGACACTAGCAATAGGAATATTATACCCTTTGTGCCCAGGTTGGGAATCGAACCTGGACCTTCGGTGTGACAAGCGAACGCTTTAACCACTGGGCTACTCCGTTGACCTAAATGATATGATTGTACATATTAAGCGTAAAAAACATGTAATCCTGCACCGAGCGTGAGAATAATGACGGAATAAAGCACACTTACTTGCGTTCCCGATATGCATTCCAGTATGAAGAATAGTAAACAGCATGATTAAGATGCCCGTCAACTTGTGGAACATGATATGCTGGTCAAGCGGAAGCAGGTGACCAACAGGGGTCGCACGCAGCCAGGTGATGCACTTCCGGAGCATGAGGACAACTATGAAGGTGCAGTCGAAGTTGAGACAGAGGCCGCATCCTCTGGCTACAATGATGCACCAGTTGGATGTCCGGTAGTTCCAGCAGCCCAGAGCAAACAGGATGCAGTTGAGGAGCATCAATATGGCGAAGAAGGCCAGCTTCCGGGGGTTGTTGCAGACGTACCTCTTCGAGAAATAGTAACTTAGAGAAGGCCATGTCTTCTTCTTTGGTGACAACGTTAACCATTGATCCAAGCTGTTTTTGAAATGAAGTTATACAAAATAGAGTAAGTCGATGCAGCGTATGCGTTGACGTAAGGAGTGCGTGCGTGTTGGTGTTGGTGCGCGTGTGTACATGTAGCTTTAAGTAGGTTGTGTTTGCGTGAGAGGAGGAAGATACTGATGACTGAAAAGTATTGCCTTTTTCACGGTAACATTAATCTTGCAATTATTCACTGCTATCCAGTAGCTTCAAGAAAAGTCATAAAGCAATGTAGATGATCAACGCTCCAAACTACACCCAGAAGCCCATTCGGGATTAGAAACCAAACAAAGCCTTAACATCAAGTAGCCAACATCAACTGTGTGTACCCTCAATATGGTCAGTAGAGTTTGGTGACCGAGACAAGCTCCCTCTTTATAATAGGCTTACTTCTTATAGAAATACAATCATGTATTCCCGGGCATGTTGCTGTCATCATTACCATTGCTTGTAGATACAATTTCCTGTTAATGTATACAGTTGGATGGTGTCTCCACAAGTCCTTTCGAAGAGTTCTTTCAACTGGATTCTAGCGTTGTACACATATCTAGTTTTCATTATTATCAGATTTGCTTTGCAGAAATGGTTAAGTTGGGGTAAAGTTATAAAATGCAAATGATATCCCATATGATATTACATACGATGAGAATGAACATTCATGTCAAATTAGAAAAGATGTTACATAGTGCAGAATGCATTTCTTGACATGTATGGGGCATGGTCAAATTGCACAGATCAAAAGAACGGAAAATACACCAATAGTTTGACCCCCTATTACCTGCTATACCTATATTATATATCATACCATATTGAGAAAAACGTCCTGACGAATTGCACGGGTCAAGGGTTTTGCAAGAACAACAGAAAAATATAGCTAAAATGGATTGAATTATCATTAAACCGACCGCATGTTATCAGAAATGAGCGTGCCACTGTAATTTGATAATGCCCTAATATTGCTTGACGACGGGCCATTATCACGCCCGTTGTTAGGTGACGTCATAGGATAAGGATCGGTGACGTCACGTTGAATAGTGACGTCATCTGGTTTGTTCTATGACGTTTCCATATATGTAAAAGTAGGCCAGTGACATTCGTGTTGATTGCAGTAAATGTTTCAAAACCGATATTGTTGTTTCTTTTTATTTGATAACAAATGCCATCCATTTTAGCTTCGTCGGGTAGTTAATAGAAGACCTCGGGCTCCTGCAAATGATAATACCCTGAAAAAAGCGTTACCCTTATATTATAACACAAGCCCGTTTTGGTATAAGAGTCAAATCATGGAATTAGAAGATTTTATTCGATAGTTTCGAATATATTTGTCATTGAATCTTACCTGAGACACAAGTTCTCCTTCAACCCAGGATGTCTATCAATAGCAGATTCGAATTCTTCGAAGGACATTTGTCCGTTCTTGTCTTCATCTGCTTCCTCAAATAATGCCTGAGTCAGCATGTCCAGTTCCTCCTCTCCCAGCTTCACCGAGCTCTCCACCATACACGACCGTAACGCCCTCCGTAACTCCTCGATGTCGATAGAACCATCACCTAGAAGGAAGAACAGTGTATGCACCATGTTGATATAACCATCACCTAGAAGGAAGAATAGTGTCTACATCATGTCGATATAGCCGTCACCTCGAAAGAAGAACAGTATATACACCATGTCGATATAACCATCACCTGGAAGTAAGAACAGCCTATACTCCATGTCGATATAACCATGACCTGGAAGTAATAACAGTGTATACACCATGTTGATATAATCATCACATCGAAAGAAGAACAATGTATTCGAGATGTAGATATAATCATCACCTAGAAGGAAGAACAGTGTATACTCCATGTCGATATAACCATCACATAGAAGGAGGAACAGCGAATACACCATGTCGATATAACAATCACTTAGAAGGAAGAACAGTGTATACACCATGTCGATATAACCATCACCTAGAATGAAGAACAGTTTATACACAATCGTCGATATAACCGTCACCAGGAAGGAAGAACAGTGTATACACCATGTCGATATAACCATCACCTAGAAGGAGGAACAGTGTATACAGTGCATCACCTCAGAAGACAAACAGTGTATTCACCAAGTTGATATTACCATCTCATCGAAAGAAGAACAGTGTATACACTATGTTAATATAACCGTCACATCGAAAGAAGAACTGTGTATTCACCAAGTTGATATTACCATCGCATCGAAAGAAGAACAGTGTAAACACTATGTTAATATAACCGTCATATCGAAAGAAGAACAGTGTATTCACCATGTTGATATAACCATCACATCGAAAGAAGAACAGTGTATTCACCATGTTGATATAACCGTCACATCGAAAGAAGAACAGTGTATTCACCTTGTTGATATAACCATCACATCGAAAGAAGAACAGTATATCAACCATGCCGATATAACGATCACCTAGAAGGAGGAACAATGTATACACCAATTCGATACAACCATCACCAGGAAGGAAGGACAGTGTATACTCCATGTTGATATAAACATCACTTAGAAGGAGGAACAGTGTATACACCATCGTCGATATAACCGTCACCAGGAAGGAAGAACAGGGTATACACCATGCCGATATAACCATCACCTAGAAGGAAGAACAGTGTATACACCATGTCGATATAACCGTCACCAGGAAGGAAGAACAGTGTATACACCATCGCCGATATAACCATCACCTATAAGGAAGAACAGTGTATACACCATGTCGATATAACCGTCACCTCGAAAGAAGAACAGTGTGATACATTTTATTCATATATCTGTCACCTAGAATGACACAACAAATGTAAGGAAAAACTTGTTGACCATTGATAAGTCGGACCAGTCAAACACCGTTGTGCCGAGGTTAAAGGGACCTGCTTCAATGCTTCGAGCTATCCGAGGTTTGACAACCGAAAATGAAAAAAGAGAAGGAATGCGCAGGGACCATGTGTTTACTTCGAGATAACCATAAGTTCGACATATCAAAGTACGAGACATCAAAGTTAGACACAAAAGTGTTTGAATGTAGTTTTTCCCCTCAGAGGTACAGTGAAGGAAGTGTCATCTGAAGTTTACTGTGAAAAGATTATGTAAACGGCTGGACCTCCTCACGAATAACACCTGTGTGAAATTAGGGGGTTAGACATATATTTTTTTTGCTGATCTGTTTCTTAATGCATATGAATTTCAAAACAAGGGAACCTTCACGTACACAGCTGATCGAGAAGTATTGGTAGACATGTTGAGGAGACGGTTTGATGACTGATGGCTTTCAGACACATGACCAAGTGTTTTATTCAAATGACCTGCCCATTTGAGCGTACAATGCTCAAGGGATGAAAGGTCTTCATATCAAACAGTTACAAAAAGCGCTAAAGGTCAGTTTTGATACCTTCGCTAAAATAATTATTGTGTGGTATAATCGGATATTCGTGGCATAACCCTTCAGGGTTTCATTTATGAAATATCAATCTTTGAAAAACGTGGTGTACTATGTTCTATAGCGTACAGTGTTGTCGGTGCCTGTACGGTCAGACCAGATCCACAAGCAGAATCCATTGCACGATTTCGACTTCATCATGAGCATGTGTTTATGAATCACTCTCAATTCGTGATAACACCAGGTGTTTGTAAAAAGTTGAGCGTACCCTGCCCAACCGGTGGCACCCGTCTCGAATTCACCTGACATGCTAACACATGCAGAGGTGACGAAGGTGTCAAGCGCCGAACTCGCCCTTATCAAGGGATAGAGATCTTACAATTCAGATGAAAGGGAGGTCAATCTTACCACTCTCGTCGTAGACGTCAAAGAGGAACTTTAGCTTCTCTGTGGCTGTTCCGTATCTCAAAAGGTTGATGGCTGAGATTAGTTCTGACGCATCCACCGAGTGGTTCTTGTCGGTGTCAAACAGCTTGAAGAAACGTCTGGCAAAATATGACTAAAACAGAACAGTAAATGTCATCAGGCTTAATGGAGTTTGTACATTCAATATAAAATGCACGGCACACGAATTGGGTGCGTATTCTAGATAAAGTCATAGTCTCAGGCAGGCTTTTTTTGTTTTTTGTTTTTTTTATGTGTGTGTGTTTGTTTGTTTGTTTGTTTGTTGATTAACGCCGCACCCAGCAATATTCCAGCTATATGACGAGGGTCTGTAACTAATCGAGTCTGGATCAAACGATCCAGTGATTGACATCATAAGCATCGATCCACGCACTTGGGATACGATGACATGCATCAACCAAGTCAACGAGCCTGACCAACCGATCCTATTTGTCGCCTCTTACGACAAGCAGTAGTTGCTGAAGGCCAATTTTAACCCGGATTCTCACGAGTCGTCTAGGCTGAAGCTTTACCAAGGCACATATTCTTGATACATCGATGGATAGGAACAACACAGGGGTTTGTTTTATGCCCGTTAATGACGAGTATGGAGTATACAATGACACGGACTAGATGATCAGGTCAAGTCTCGTAACCATGCAGACTGTGAAGTCCGTCGAGCGAATACTGAGGCTGTTTTAACTGTATACACAGATTTTGGTTTCACGATTAACGGTCATTCCTCATGATTGGGAAGTGTCATGTTTTGCATTGTGTTTCTAATCAAGTCGTTCCTTTCAACCATTCTGTTGCCTGTGAGTGAGTGAGTGAGTGAGTGAGTGAGTTTTGTTTAACGCCGCTTTTAACAATATTCCAGTTATATCACGGCGTGTCAGCTTAATGTGGGAGGAAAGCCCGAAGTGATGCAGGTCTCAGACTTTTACCACTTTGGTGAAACCCACGAGCACGTGTATGGTGCTGACAAACATAGAAACATAATCGGGGCGAACCGGGATTTGAACCCACAACCATAGGTTTCTGGCGTGCCCAAGGGACGCAACTCTGCACAGCGAACCGCGGCGCCTTAGACGACTGGGCCACCCGTGCCCCCCTGTTGCCTGTGACACATGGTCCTGTGCACATCTCATAGGACACAAATCGCGTTCGGCAGCTTGACTCTTGCGAGTTTTCAGGGCTTCGTTTGTGCCCATTAATGCAGCACATGATATTATTATTATTATCGTCGTCGTCGTCGTCGTCGTCATCATCATCATGATTATTATTAGTAGTAGTAGTAGTAGTGGTTAAAATGATGCTGAAAAGTACTAAGCAGTTAACTTTGGTCAACTCACATCTCTAATTTTGAGGTGCCTCTTGAAAGCGTTGAAGTCAATCTCAGTGTCAGGCCGCACCGTCTTCGACAGTTGATTCTCCAGAGAATGAACGATGTTGTCTTCACTGGACACAACACAAGGAAAACATTGGACACCAATGCAGTCAACAAAAAGGAAAATATGAATACATTATCAGATGCATTTCGAATACCTTGTATAGAGTAGGCCCCCTCACTAACCCATTCGACCCGTGAAGATCCGGGGTAAAATTGATCTTCAGGACCCCATGCTTGCCGTAAAAAGGCGACTATGCTTGTCGTAAGAGGCGACTAACGGGGTCGAGTGGTCAGGCTCGCTGACTTGATTGATGCATGTCATCGTCTACCAATTGCTTGGAGCGATCTTCATGATGCAAATCACTGGGTTGTCTGGTCCTGACTCGATTATTTACAGACCGCCGTCATATAGCTGGAACATTGCAGAGTGCGGCGTTAAACAACAAATAAACAAACAAACAAAAACTAACCCATTCCTGATGTAAATAAGGATAATGAACAACTTCTTTGTTATAATTAGGAGCGACGTTTTGGTGTCGGTTTTAACACCGTTACCAAGCAAGTGCTATTTAGTACCCCAACTTCTAAATGCCTCTCAAAGAGGAAATTCCTGATGTAAGTGAGTGAGTAAGATTTTACACCGCTTCTAGCAATATTCCAGCAAAACACGGAGGGGGCACACGCACATTAAAACCCTGATCTCTGGCATAACGAGCCAAAGCTTTATCCACGAGTGAGTGAGTATGATTTTACGCCGCTTTTAGCAACATTCCAGCAATATCACGGCGGGGGACACCAAAAATGGGCTTCACACATTGTGCCCATGTCGGGAATCGAAACCCGGGTCTTCGGCGTGACGAGCGAACGCTTTAACCACTAGGCTACCCGACCGCCCCGCCAATAACAGAGTCGATTGTACGATTCCGACTTTTTCATGAGGACGTGTTTATGAACCACTATCAAATAGTGATAATGCCAGGTGCTCGCGAAAAGGTGAGCTTATCCTGCCCCACCAGCGGCACCCGTGACATACACATGCAAAGGCACGTCAATTGTTCACCGGACAACAGCACGCGAACATATGGTACAAGTCAAAAAAGGGAATTGCTTCGGACATGATTTTCCCCGGAAGTAGTTGTAGGCATCTGTATGGGACCGCTCCTGGCTTCTGATTGGTCGAGAGGAACGCGTGACCTCTGTGACGTCACTTCCGGTCATGTGACCTGCGCAGTGCATGATGGGTCCTGCGCGCACATCCAAGATGGCGGCACTTCCGTTTCCGGGGAGGTAGGTGAAAACCCGGAGAAGCGCACGTAAAAGGTGAACAGGATCGACATTGAAAGAGGCGCGTCAAAAATCTTTTGTTGTTGTTGTTGTTGTTGTTGTTGTTGTTGTTGTTGTTGTTGTTGTTCTACACATAGACGTGGGGGTGGTGGTGGTGAAGGGAGATTGGTGGTGAAGGGAGGAAGGTGGGAGGAGGAGGAAGAGGAGGAGGAGGGAGGGAGGAAAGGAGGAGACGGGTTCATGGTGTGGGTTGGAGGGTCGTCAAAGCAAAGGATGATAGTTGTCTTTTGGGTGAGATGGCGATCCTGTTTTGTTTTTCTTCATCCTACAGACAACACAACACTACTATGGGTTCAACTTTTTTTAATCCCCCGCTCACATGAACCAACACAACAAAACGAAAGTCACAGGATTAGGGGCGTCCCTGTGACTTTTGTGAACATGAACGTATGTACACGTATGTGAACGTATGTACAGTTTGAAAAAAAGAACTTTTGCCACTTTGATAGTGAACGTATGTACATTCCTAAAACGCAGTGAACGTATGTACACTCCTCAATCAGGAATGTTGACAGTCAGGTGATCGTAGGTTCAGTGAACAAGTGTCAGGTCAATAAGGGCAGAAAGGTTGGTTCTTTTGATGTAGGGTACGCGTCTGGGCACTCAGTCGAAAGGCAGGCATCTCATCCACAGGAACGGAGGTAGACACTTGGTATGAAACCATGCTAATACCATGCTAATACCGTGGCATCATTCTTGGCGGTGTCCTTCCAGTCCAACGTATCTAACACTTGATTAAAAGTCCACCCACGCACGCGATAGGTCAGCATGTAGAGACAGTACACCCCACACAACGTGCTGTATCCATGTTGTAAGGGGCGTGTATTCCATCGTTGTTGAATCTGACCCATGCGATTCAAAGTCTCTTTAAACAGGGGTAATGAATACAGTCCATAGCTATCCATCATTTCCACGGATCCAGGAGCTGGACGATAGATGCTCACCCAGTGTGTGCCAGGTTGATGGCTTAAATCTGTGTTGATCACGTAGGCTTTGGGGTAAAAGGGGTCATCCTGTTGCCATCCCAGTCTGTCAAAGTCATCTCGGGCCAGGGTGCCCCGGTAGATGGCATGAAGTGGTTCATCATCAGGGCTTCTAAATCCAAGGTGCTCAACCCGAGTGGTTCATCCATGGTTCCTTGTAGGAGGAGAAAAAGTGTGGCATGACCGTCTGTCGCTGCTCTTTTTATACCATCATCGCATTCCGGAAAGGATCTATTTCCAAAACATTTTCGTATTCCTCATAGCAGATGAGGGTGACTGGGTCCTCGAGAGCTTGTCCAAACTGGATTTCCAAACCCAACTTGCCAGTGTGTCGAGGGTAGTTGATGCCTTCATCAGCGCCAAGGTCTGGGGTGAGATCCACCACCCACAAGGTGTAACCTTGAGTAAAGGCCTTGGGAGTCAGTTTGCAGGTCTCAGGTCGCCATAGCTGCCCCGTGTTTCGGAACAGATTCATGTAGACTTGTTTCAAATGGGCGCTGTTGTTGCTGAAGTCGCTTTTCATTTCCGTGCAATGGACTTCCTGGGCGTTGACTTTGAGCTTCATCATGGTGACATGATTGTGTTTGAAGTTGTACGGATTCTTCTCTTTGCTTCCTACGTAGGCACTATTGTCCACCAGTCCCAGGACCACACGTTTTGGTAATTGGCCACCGATGAGGTGATCCTTGTGAAAGTCCCTACCGCCTCTCGAGATGTCATGGGCACTCACATGCACACGTGAAAGGGGATACTTGGCAGTCACCCCAGCGTTCAGACTGGACACGTGTGTTTCTCGGACAGCAGGATCGATGTTGAGCTGACGGACATAGAATTCGGCTTTGGTCAGCGCTAGTTTGTAGACACCATCAGCAGCACACATGAAGAAGAACTCATCGGGACTTCGTAGCAATTCCAGTTTCATAGGGACACCATCCAGCAGATAACGGTCTTGAAGAAACAGGTCACAGTGTAGACGGCCTGTAAGTTCCACTTCTTTGGTGGGTACGATAAGATCGCGTTGCGTTCTGACACCTGTGTTTCTTGTGTTCGCATCTGCATCAGGATTGAAGACGTCCATTTTACCAGCATCGTCGGTGAACCATCCAGGACATCGAAGGTGAGATGTTTTGGCTCCTGTACCATAACTCAGAAGGGTTTCCAAGTAGGCTCTGTAAGGGTAAGTGCCCATGGAGGGTGTGATCTCCAACTGATTGTGTCCCACTTGCAGCCGCACTTCGCGAAACAGGGAATGCATCACATTGTTGACTGTCAATACAGGGTTATCCGCTAGAACGGTATCCGTGCCATCATCTTTCGTCACACGTAGACATACTCTCAGGTAGCACTGTTTCAAATCAATGTAAGCGTTCATGGGATTGGAAATGTTAAACTGGAGTGGTCCTGCTACAGAGGGTGGTGCCAAGGGACTATAGCGAATCCACTGACCCTCTTGCACAGAGGTGGACACAGGGGGTACAGTAAAGAGATCCAACTCGGCCTTTGAACATTCACAAGCATCTCGGCGCATCATGATGATGGATGTTTCACCCTTTTCTCTGCCTTGAAGGACGTCTGGTCAGGTTGAAAGTCTGATGAGGACTGACCTTTAAACCGTTTTTCTTTTCCTTTTACGCTGTTTCTGGTGGATGGTGGTGGTGGTTGGGACGACTTTACGGCTTTTAGGGGGTCTCGGCTCCTCACGTTCCTCCAAGACATCCATCAGGGCTGCTGTGCCGCGATGTTTCAGACTCTCTGACCATTTGCGTTTGCCTCCAACCACATCACTCACCAACCCAGGCAGGATCTTTTTACCCATCTTGAGCACCGATGTTCCGGCAGATTTAAGGAAAGGCAACGCCATCTTCAAGATACCTCCAAGACCACTGCCACGTTGATGATAACGTCCTTTGTATACTTTGATAGCACTCCCACGCTGGCCGAACTGTCCTCGATTCATCTGGTGTGCCAATCCATGTCCCAACATGTTGCTTTCTGCGTTAGTAGCGGCGTCTGAAGTGAAGTGTCACGATGGCTTTCCCCGTTTGAAATGGCACGGGTCGCCCTGTGTCGCCCATGATATAGAGTTTAATACCGTCAAAGGAACCATGACGCAACCCAAGGTAGTGAATGTGCTGAGGGCTTTTAAACACCACACTGTCTTGCATCATCTTCTTTGACACAGGCACGTAGATCAGCAAGGGAGCCATCGTATTGCCCACAATTTGATCTTCGACCAGGTTGGTGTAAATGTACACAGTATCAAATCCTGACAGACGATGTGCTTTTGTGTCACCTGTGATTTCCACATAGCCACCGATCATGGGAGTAGCCCCCACTTGCCAATGGGCCAAGGCAGTCAAGGTAACGGGCGTCTCTGTGTAGGTTTTATAGTCCTCCTCACCGAGGAGCGGTAGTTGAACAAATCCGAGCATTCTCGAGAGTGGACTTGGCATGATTACTTCCGTGGAATAGAGTGGTCCACCAGTATTTCCCATGAGAGGATGATTGATTGCTACTTCTTGAGGGGCTTGGAATCGCACCTTTCCATCTTCAAGCATGTCAAATCGAAGACTATCTGCGGGATACTTGACATCAATGACAAACCGTCTCCCATCACTTTGGACGCTGTCTGAGGGCTGTTCTTTCAAGACATCTGTAATATGTTCCTGAATCAAACGGTTGAGGGTTTTCACCAAATCTTCAGATGAATAGACGCCTTTCTCGATAGGAATCTTCTTGCT